TAGGTCAAGCTGACTTCAACAAAACATGGTAGCTAGGTCAAGCTGACTTCAACAAAACATGGTAGCTAGGTCAAGCTGACTTCAACAAAACATGGTAGCTAGGTCAAGCTGACTTCAACAAAACATGGTAGCTAGGTCAATCTGACTTCAACAAAACATGGTAGCTAGGTCAAGCTGACTTCAACAAAACATGGTAGCTAGGTCAAGCTGACTTCAACAAAACATGGTAGCTAGGTCAAGCTGACTTCAACAAAACATGGTAGCTAAGTCAAGCTGACTTCAACAAAACATGGTAGCTAGGTCAAACTGACTTCAACAAAACATGGTAGCTAGGTCAAGCTGACTTCAACAAAACATGGTAGCTAGGTCAAGCTGACTTCAACAAAACATGGTAGCTAGGTCAATCTGACTTCAACAAAACATGGTAGCTAGGTCAAGCTGACTTCAACAAAACATGGTAGCTAGGTCAAGCTGACTTCAATAAAACATGGAAGCTAGGTCAAGCTGACTTCAATAAAACATGGAAGCTAGGTCAAGCTGACTTCAATAAAACATGGAAGCTAGGTCAAGCTGACTTCAACAAAACATGGTAGCTAGGTCAAGCTGACTTCAACAAAACATGGTAGCTAGGTCAAGCTGACTTCAATAAAACATGGAAGCTAGGTCAAGCTGACTTCAATAAAACATGGAAGCTAGGTCAAGCTGACTTCAATAAAACATGGAAGCTAGGTCAAGCTGACTTCAACAAAACATGGTAGCTAGGTCAAGCTGACTTCAACAAAACATAGAAGCTAGGTCAAGCTGACTTCAATAAAACATGGTACTGTAGCTAGGTCAAGCTGACTTCAACAAAACATGGAAGCTAGGTCAAGCTGACTTCAACAAAACATGGAAGCTAGGTCAAGCTGACTTCAACAAAACATGGAAGCTAGGTCACGCTGACTTCAACAAAACATGGAAGCTAGGTCAAGCTGACTTCAACAAAACATGGAAGCTAGGTCAAGCTGACTTCAACAAAACATGGAAGCTAGGTCAAGCTGACTTCAACAAAACATGGAAGCTAGGTCAAGCTGACTTCAACAAAACATGGAAGCTAGGTCAAGCTGACTTCAACAAAACATGGAAGCTAGGTCAAGCTGACTTCAACAAAACATGGAAGCTAGGTCAAGCTGACTTCAACAAAACATGGTAGCTAGGTCAAGCTGACTTCAACAAAACATGGAAGCTAGGTCAAGCTGACTTCAACAAAACATGGAAGCTAGGTCAAGCTGACTTCAACAAAACATGGTAGCTAGGTCAAGCTGACTTCAACAAAACATGGAAGCTAGGTCAAGCTGACTTCAACAAAACATGGAAGCTAGGTCAAGCTGACTTCAACAAAACACTGAAGCTAAGTCAGGTTAACTTCAACAAAACAAAACAAAACTTTTCAGTAAGAATATGCTATTTCTTAAAGACAAAGAAACAGAAAATAAAAGGACTGGATAAGCAAGGTTTATTCAGGTAAAATTCACACATTGCAGCTGTTATTTTTTTTTATACAGATGGCACTAAGCAGATTAAGAATACAATGATAATACATCAAGAATATTTTTGACCTAAAATGAAGTTAAGGTCAAATAGTATGATTTATTTAGTGTTAGAGATCTACATGTCCCATCATCTTGGCTAAAACTGCTTATTATTACCATCAATGTTCAGGTCTACCCCATGACCACAAGTCATTTATGTGTCATACATGTCCATATATCTTGGTCACCCCCCCCTGCCCCCTCCTCCTCCCCCCCCCAGGGCGTTGAGGGGGGCGTCGTCATGGCAACCCGCCCCCCCTTGTTTACCTCTCACCTGCAATGTTGACTTTCCTTCCTCTATTATTATTCCCTCTTCTAATTAACTTAAACCTTTCGAAATATGTTCCCCGGGACCTCTGATGGTGTGGGTAGCCGGGGAGATTATTTTCCTGGCCACAGCCATGGTCAGTAAGGAGAAAAATAGCGTGTAAAATAGGGGTAATGCGCTGGCGGGGTTGATATTTCAAGCGGGATATTCTGGCCAATTCGCCTTCCTGGGCGCATATTTACCTGGTCTTGGAGCATCTTAGGTGGCCTAGATCCCAGGGCAGCTACACTGGAGGGCAGATATTAGCGGTGAGAGGCGAGACGATCATGGAGGTTGGGGGTTTTGGCCTTATTCTGGGGAGTAGGAATGGCGGCGGCGCAACAATAATGTGAGCGGCGCCGCAGTGCACAGCCTCGCCCGCCCAGACACCGCCATGTTTGGTCTCCACCACCAACACCTCCCTCTCTAACACCTATTTCTCCCTCCCTACCAAACTACTACACATTCTTCCTCTACAGGCGTCTACGTTAATACTTTAATGAGAGGTGGGCGGGCAGCGCGGGGCGAGACAATGCCCACAAACATAGTTATCGTCATTAAACTTTGCACTCCTCGCTAGGGCCCAGCTACGGCTGATTTGCGGTCATATGGGCTAGACAAGTATTTTTCTCACACGCCATTTATTGCTGCTAGAGGGACACTCTAGGCCTCGTAGTATTAAGTAGTGTCATCCTGTAGAGGTGTTATAGAAGAGAGTGATGACTAGAGTGAAGTTGGCAGTGTATTGTGTGAGAACTAGTTAGCATCGCGCCTGAGTAACGAGGTTCACCGCTAAACTTAAACTTCAACTCTCACCATATATAACACTCAAGACTGGTACCCTCATGCTGCTCAGGGGCTCTTGATCCAAGGAACTGGATTTGCGGTTATAAATGGTGTGGTGGTGCCAACAGACTGTGGAAAGACAGACTATTGCACCGTTGAGAATATATATTACATGGTGTACCATGACCAGACTCACTACCTCAACCTGGACTGACTTGTTCATAATCTTGTAAAATATCCACAACTTGAAGATTAACACAAATGCACAACAGTTGGGTATCTTTATTGATGAAATGTTTCGCCTACACAGTAGGTTTCTTCGGTCAAATACAAAGGAGCAGCAGAAATGAAACAAAGATGTAATCAAGTTGGTAGAATTACCGACAATATGTAAAGTAAAAGGACACAAGTGCAACTAATGTGACATTTATTGTGGCAACGTTTCGCTCTCCAGGAGCTATATCAAGCTTGATATAGCTCCTGGAGAGCGAAACGTTGCCACAATTAATGTCACATTAGTTGCACTTGTGTCCTTTTACTTTACAAAGATGTAATCAGTCCATCAATCTTGGAGAAAAAGTACTTGAGGTGGTCAGTCCCTGAGCCTGGAGAAAAGTTCAGTTCCATGGTCTGCAACGATATTGTTCCACACGGACTGATTACGTCTTCTTTATTTCATTTCTATTGCTCTCTTTGTATTTGACTGAAGAAGCCTACTGTGTAGGCGAAACGTTTCATCAATAAGGATACCCTACGGGTTTAAGAAGTTTATTTAGGCACAGGTACACACAAGTACAATTATCATAATGTAAATTATCCAGGATAACCCAAATTGACTTTTTTTTCTATTGGGTTCTTTGACTTTTTTGAAGGGATTATCCTAGGTCATTTACACATGTTAAACTATGTGAGTCAATTGTACCTTTGTATCTGGACTTAATTAAACATACTACCTTTACTGGGAGGCTTCACCCACCAGGGACTTTGTTGATATAATACAAAGACATGATAATGAAGACTTATAGCAGAGCCCATGAATGAAGTGTAGCAATGCAACAGCTGTACAGGTGGTCACAAGTGGGCGGGGCCCACCTGTACAAGTAGGTCAGGCTAAAGAGAGTAGCGAGAGGCTTAGCTGGTCAGGTACTGACTTTAGGTGCCTGGCCGGTGCCTTCTTGAAGACAGCCAGGGGTCTACTGATAATCTCCCTTATGTATGCTGGGAGGCAGCTGAACAGTCTTGGACCCCTGACACTTACCGTGCTAGTGGCATCCCTGCTTTTCATTGACGTGTTGCTCACAGAAGTCTTTAATACCAAAGATACATAAGAAGTGAGACTATAATAACTAGTTCCAGTTCTTATAACAAACATTTACTTAAATTCGCTAGCGTACTCAGCTCACACACTGAGGTCCGGGATTCGAATCTCCTCCGGTACGGCTGGAAGACATTAGGGACGTGTTTCCATAAGACACTTGCTGTCCCTGTTCACCCATGTTTAAAATGAGTACCTGGGTGTTAGTGGACTGGTGTGGGTCGCATCCTGGGACAAAACTGACCTAATTTGTGGGAAATGCTCAGCATAACAAGCGACTTTCTATATAGTAGTATGTCATTAATGTCAGCTATGATCTTATGACTTCGTATCCTGTCAAGAGACGAGCTCTTGCTCCAAGGAATTGGAACTTCTGTTTCCTTGGATCGATCCTGACTGCCTCCTGTTACCTAGGTACTATGTGACCCTCACGGGTTTATCTACATTATTTGTACCTCGCAAGAAATAAAAATTGTGTATGTTAACTTAGGTAAATATTTAGGTACTAGAAGGACTTCAGTGGAGGTAAGTAACTTTGTCTGACTTGTTTAGTTTATCGTAGATAATTTACACTTTATAATACTTGTGCCTAAATAAACTTAATTACACAAATAATTGTAGAGAAGTATTTAATCTAAAATTGTATAAATAAACTCACTGATTTTATTTACTTCTTACTTTCTTTGCTTACTTTGCTTGCTTATTTGTTCACTTGCTTTTCTCATTTTCTTTTACTTATTTACTTAGTTAATTAAGAAGTATGAGTTAGTATTACCTTAAAGATATTATTAAGTGCGTGCGCACGAGCACAGGGTCATCACCACCCTGGTTAGCCAATCACAATCAAGTTTACCTGGATTTCGACTCTCATTGGCTCAAATTCGGAAATCTTTGAGAGATAAGATTTCCAGAGGTGAGCAGCAGCAGCCAATCATTATTCGGCTGTGTGAGAGAGGTGAGCCTTCATTGGTGGAGAGATGCCCTCGCTGCACTCAGTACAGCAGTTCCAGGAACAATCAGGTGTTGAGTGTAAACAAGAGTTTACCATCACAACTCCGGATTGATTTAGGTGATTTAAATTGGTTTTCACTTACTGTCATGAATTATTTCATTGTAGGAAGTGCGGAGAATGATGGAGGAGGTGTGTCGAGGCTGGAGAGTGATGGAGGAAGTATGATAAGTGTGACGAGGGACGCAGGAAGTATGTCAAGTGTGATAAGTGTTGGTTGAAGTATGTCAAGTGTGATGGGTATTGGAGGCTGATGAATACTCGTTCTTTATTCAGGTTTCATTTTCCAACCAGGTGGCTTTTATATGTAGCTAATTTTGATGTTCAGTTGCATTTAAATAAAAATAAATATGCATGTTTGCTTGTCCGTTTGTTTTGTATGTTTGTTTATATGTATGTTTGTTTGCTTGTACGTTTTTATTTGTATGGATGTGTTTGTATGTTTGATTTTTTTCGATTATCCTAGGTAATTACACGTTCACCACCCATCTAGATACCCATCAGTTACACAACCCAGTCATCATGGGTTTAGAGCAGCTCGCTCCTGTCTGCCCCAACTACTGGAGCACTATGACAAGGTCCTGGATGCTCTAGAAGACAAAAAGAATCCAGATGTAATATACACAGACTTTGCAAAAGCCTTTGACAAGTGTGACCATGGAGTAATGCATAAAATGCTCAATAAAGGAATAACAGGAAAAGTCGGTAGATGGATCTATAATTTCCTAACAAATAGAACACAAAGAATAGTAGTCAACAGAGTAAAGTCTGAGGCGGCTACGGTGAAAAGCTCTGTTCCACAAGACACAGTACTTGCCCCCATCTTGTTCCTCATCTTCATATTGGACATACAGGGATATAAGCTACAGCACCGTGTCTTCCTTTGCAGATGATACCCGAATTTGCATGACTGTCCTCCATTGAAGATACTGCAAGACTCCAGGCTGACATCAACCAAATCTTTAAATGGGAGGCAGAAAACAATATGAAGTTCAATCATGAGAAATTTCAATTACTCCGATTTGGAAAACATGAGGAAATTAAAACTTCACTGGAGTATAAAACAAATTCCAACCACACAATAAAGAAAAACAAATATCAAAGACCTGGGAGTGATCATGTCAGAGGATCTCACCTTCAAGGAACATAACATTGTATCAATCGAATCTGCTAAAAAATGACAGTATGGATAATGAGAACCTTCAAAACCAGGGATGCCAAGCCTATGATGACACTCTTCAGGTCACTTGTTCTATCTAGGATGGAATATTGCTGCACACTAACAGCACCTTTCAAGGCAGGTAAAATTGCTGACCTAGAAAATGTACAGAGAACCTTCATGGCGCGCATAACTGCGATAAACCACCTCAGTTACTGGGAACGCTTGAAGTTCCTCAACCTGTACTCCCTAGAATGCATGAGGGAGAGATACGTGATTATATACACCTGGAAAATCCTAGAGGGACTAGTACCGAGCTTGCACACGAAAATCACTCCCTACAAAAGCAAGAGACTCGGCAGATGGTGCAACATCCCCCAATGAAAAGCAGGGATGATACTAGCATGAAAAGAGACAACACAGTAAGTGTCAGGGGCCCAAGACTGTTCAACTGCCTCCCAGCATACATCATGGGGATTACCAATAGACCCCTGGCTGTCTTTAAGCAGGCACTGGGCAGGCACCTAAAGTCAGTACCTGACCAGCCGAGCTGTGGTTCATATGTTGGAATACATGCAGCCAGCAGTAACAGCCTGGTTGATCAGGCCCTGATCCACCATGAGGCCTAGTCACAGACTGGGCTGTGGAGGCATTGACCCCTGGAACTGTCTCCAGGTATGCTGCTATGTATGATAATTTATGTAATTATTTGTGTACATGTTTCTGAATAAACTTAGTATGTTTGTATGTATGCTTATACATTTGTTTTTTATGTATATTTTTGTTTGTATGTTTATATGTATTTTTTACTGAAAATTAATATCGTGGGGAAACAAGTAATTTTATAACTAATAATTGTAAGGTGGTATTCTATTTAAATTGGAAATAGTCTTAAGATGCAACCTATTATCATTTAACTATTATTTTTTTTATGTTTTATGTCAGTTTCTATTATTAAAATACTATTTTTTTATATTTTTAAGTTATGTAAATATAGGTTAAGCCACACATCGTCCAGGCTATGATGAATGTGTGGACCACCTGCAGCAATGGCCTGGTTGATTAGGCAAGCACCAGACAACCTGACCTGAGGTTAGATAGCTCTTTTGACCCTTCAAAAGTATCAAAACATATAGGATAAGTTAGCAATTTTAGGTTACACAAATCCATAAAAATATATATTGCAAAGCAAATTAAAAATAAGTTGCACTACTTCTGGTAACAAGGAAAAAACAGGTTAAAATGCTTTCAAATCTGAGTATTAATCACTGGTTGGATCAAGAATGGACTGTAAGATGGTATATTTTTATAAAGAAAATATCGTAATGTATGTTATAATTAAAAATGATCAAATAACAATATTTTTTTTTATTAACACATCAGCCGTCTCCCACCAAGGCAGGGTGGCCCGAAAAAGAAAAACTTTCACCATCATTCATTCCATCACTGTCTTGCCAGAGGTATGCTTATATTACAGTTATAAAACTGCAACATTAACACCCCTCCTTCAGAATGCAGAAACTGTACTTCCCATCACCGGCCTGCTGGTTCCCCTGAATCCCTTCATAAATGTTACCTTGCTTACACTCCAACACCATGTCAAGTCCTAAAAACATGTCTCCATTCGCTCCTATCTAACACACTCACGCATGGTTACTGGAAGTCCAAGCCCCTCATACACAAAACCTTTACCCCTCCCCTCCAACCTTCCTTATGCTGACCCCCTACCCTGCCTTCCCTCCACTATAGATTTATACACTCTTTAAGCCATTCTATTTTATTTCATTCTCTCTACATGTCCAAACCACCTCAACCCCCTCCTCAGCCCTCTGGATAATAGTTTCAGTAATCTCACACCTCCTAATTTCCAGACTATGAATTCTCTGCATTACGTATATTCACACCACACATTGCTCTCAGACATGACATCTCCACTACCTCCAGCCTTTTCCTTGTTGCAACATTCACCACCCATGTTTCACACCCATATAAGAGCATTGGTATAACTCTCATACATTCCCCTCTTTGCTTCCTTGGACAAAGTTCTTTGTCTCCACAGACTCCTAAGTGTACCACTTACCTTTTTCTCCTCATCAATTCTGTGATTCACCTCATCTTTCATAGACCCATCCGCTGACACGTCCACTCCTAAATATCTGAATACATTCACCTCCTCCACACTATCTCCCTCCAATCTGATATTAATCTATCATCACCTAATTTTTTTGTTATCCTCATCACCGTACTCTTTCCTATATTCACTTTTAATTTTCTTTGTTTACGTACCCTACCAAACTCATCCACTAACCTCTGCAACCTCTCTTCAGAATCTCCCAAAAGCACAGTGCCATCAGCAAAGAGCAACTGTGACAACTCCCACTTTGTGTTAGATTCTTTATCTTTTACTCCCACACCTCTTGCCAACACCTGAGCATTCACTTCTCTTACAACCCCATCTATAAATATATTGAAAGCCATGGTGACATCACACATCCTTGTTTAAGGCCTACTTTTACTAGGAAATAATCTCCCTCTCTCTCCTACATACTCTAACCTGAGCCTCACTATCCTCATAAAAACTCTTCGCTGCTTTCAGTAACCTACCTCCTCTTCCATACATTTGCAACATCTGCCACATTGCTCCCCTATCCACCCTGTCATACGCCTTTTCCAGATTCACAAATGCCACAAAAACCTCGGTACCCTTTTCTAAAAACTGTTCACCTATTTATTTCACTGTAAACACTTGGTCTACACACCCCCTACCTTTCCTAAAGCCTCCTTGTTCATCTGCTATCCTACTCTCTGTCCTACTCTTAATTCTTTCAATAATAACTCTACCATGCACTTTACCAGGTATACTCAACAATTTTTGTGCTCTCTTTTGCCCCCTTTGCCTTCATACAAAGGAACTATGTATGCTGTCTGCCATTCCCTAGGTACCTTACCCTCTTCCATATATTTATTAACTAAAAACACTAACCCTCCAAAACTATATCCCAACCTGCTTTTAACATTTCTATCTTTATCCCAAAAACAGTGATTATGTGTGAGTGAGGTGAAAGTGTTGAATGATGATGAAATTATTTTCTTTTTGGGGATTTTATTTCTCTTTGGGTCACCCTGCCTTGGTGGGAGACCGATGACTTGTTGAAAAAAAAAAATCTTTATCCCATCAATCCCTGCTGCCTTAAACGTTTTCATTCTACCCACTGCCTCACGAACTACCCCCACACTCTCAACTGGCTCTTCCTCACTCCTACAAGATGTTATTACTCCTTGCCCTTTACATGAAATCACAGCTTCCCTATCTTCAACATTTAACAATTCCTCAAAATATTCCCTCCATTTTCCCGATACCTCTGACTCTCCATTTTATAAATACTAATAAAAAAAATATACAGCTGTACAATGTGGTAAAAGTGCATGTAGTTAAGTGTAGTAGGTAACTTTTTAATGATATAGATAGGAAAATAATGTGATAGAATCTTATAACAGTTGTTAACTAATGATTTTGAAGTATTAATGACTTAACTAAAAGAATCATTGTTAACAAAATATGCAGAGTACAGGAGGGCCCTGCTGTACATCGTTTCACTAATACAGGAGTTTTCAGTTATAGCCATCATTTATTCAGATTTCCTACAATAAATATGTTCACCACTTGCTGTAAGCTATGGACGAAAATATTTTAAAGTAAGTAATGTGTGTACTGTATTTGCATCTTTTAGGTCTAGCTCTATTGCTCACTTAATATATGATAGTGTAAACATGTTTTCAGGCTTTTATATACATTTTAAAGTGATGAAAGGCTATATTTCACTTTACAACAGTAACCTGTACCCTAACGTGCTGTATAAGCGAGGCCCTCCAGTAGTACATTCACAGTGTGCATGTGCGTATGCACATGTGCGTATGTGTGTGCATGTGCATGCACGCGTGCTTGCACATGTCTAAATATGGAAAGGATTAATTTATTTGTTAAGCAATTGTTGTATACTGTACCATTAAGTTATATGTTATAATATAAGCTTCCGGCTGTTGATTTACAGAGGAAAGTCTTTGTTAATATTTGTATTATATCCACAGGAGTTTAGCATAGGATGCCTCAGGATGGATTGGGGAGCAAGTCGGGTGGGAAAAAACGGTCTGGTGGTGTCCCCCGTGTCCGAAGTCACACTGATGCTGAGCTCCAGTATTACCGTGACCAAGACCATGACAACATCCTTCCCCCTTCCTTTAAGTATGACTTACTGTCTTGTGCAGCTTTTTCCTTCAGTGATCTGACTTTGAGTGTGTGTGTCATAGAGCATTGGTCAAAGGATTGAACCTCAACACTCCATGTGCTGAAGCTTAGTGCCTAATATAAGTACAGTAGTTCCCCTGTATCTGTGAGGGATACGTTCTAAGACCTACTGTGGATACCCGAAACTGCAAATAGTGTCGGAACCTATGTCATTTTTTGTTTACATACATACCTATGATGAAGTTTAATTGATAAATTATGCACAATAAGTGGAGAATTATCACTTTTTCACTGCTGGGAAACACTTCATGGCTTCTCTTAAGCTTTGAAGAACTGTCAGCATCACTACTTCTACACTTTGGTGACATTATTAAGCAAAATGAAGGGTTATTTTCAGGATACGATAAACTGCTAATAACTGAAATGTGGAAACCAGACCTGCAGATATGGAGATTCTACTGTACAGTATACAAACATAATTTTCGATACTTTTTGTAATAAAAACTAAATATACTGTACTTATTTTTAAGATTTGGATTGGGTGACATTGGCTAGATAAAATAATTGTTTTTTGTTTTCCCTGTGTATGTTTCTAAAACTTTGTATTTTTTAATGGTAGTAGACAATCACTTTGAGGTACAGAATGTTCAAAATTTCATGTACGCTCGTGTAAAAAAAATCTTGTTATCCAGCTTCTCAGTGTTTCAAATTTCAGCCATTTACTTCTTTCTTTTCCCAATTTAATTCCATAATAGTTATTTGAACAGCATTCCATCCAAGTAACCAATTTTCTGATTTATCCAACCTTCTTCAGTTCCTGTAGTGGTTAGATAAGAGGAGTTTTACTTTATAGTACTTTTTGTAAGTGCATGAATGGGAGAGTGAAGCCTGTATTCTCCCTTCCTCCCTCTATTCTCTTCTTGCCTCCAATTTCCTGTTCTCCCTCCGGTCTCTCTCCCTGCAACCATCTGTATCATTTCCCCTCCCTTTCCATTTTTCACCCTTCCCTGGTCTCCCTCCTTCCCTTCCTTTTTCTGTTCTCCCTCTTTTCTTTTATTCCCTTCCACCCTCCTTTACTGCTCATTATGGTTAAGACAAAATGTGAAATTTTTTTTAGATAAATTGGTAATATTTTTTGCTAGATTCTCTTATTCTCTTGCTGATATGATTAATCCTTAGTCAATAAATAAATGTTAAAGTTAATATGTTTTTAGAATATTGGATCCTCTTGTTTTTCAGAGTACGTCTTCATGATCTTTTCATGCAAATAGAAAAGGAATTTGAAGGTCTTTATGCAGAAAATTTATCACGTAAGTTTATTAATGTTTTAAGATACTGTACTTGTAGTGGTATGATTAATGGGGCCTTGATTATTATTATAATTCATGTTAAGCACTAAACCCATGTGGGTCATTCAGCACAAGATGTGGTGGAGGCTTGATCCTTCATCTGCCGAGCGTGAGACAGACAGGCTTCCTGTTTGTACTTGCCTATGTCTAATGGGGCCTTGATGAATGCTGCTTCAAAAGTATTGACCCTGCGCCCAACCTCTTTCCCAAAGCACAATTAAAATCTCATAATACATGGACAGCTTTCTTTGTATGAACTATTTTAACACAAGGGCTAACCTCCACTGGGTGCAGGATTGTTGCAAGCCACTCTGACCATGCATCATTAGTCATATGGTATATAAGCTGTACATAAAACATTGCATAAGAAAGCTTTAAGAGATGTTATGTAATTTAAGACAACATTTATTTAATTTTATAAATAATATTGCCTTAATTTTTCAGTACAGGATAAGATAGACAGCCTAACTGAGAGACTAGAAAGAGAATCAGTCATTGGGGAACGTCCTGGTGGTAATGATGAAAATGATGGAGCATCCACTAAAGGTGGACTCAAGAATAAATGTAAGTTACTTCTGTTATTCTGTAAGACACCAGTTGACTTTGATTTTTATTGTAAAATTGGCATGAGAAATAGTAAGCCCTCCCCCCCCCCATCCTCCCATTTCACCTCAATGGTGCAAACTGCCCTGCATTCCTGCAATGAATGTGATGATTGAGCTAAGAACCTGTCCACTTTTGTATAACTCCAACTAAAAGCCAAAATTGCCATTGATTTAGGGCATGCAGGCATTTTGAGTTCTAGAAAGCAAATGCAGGAACATATTACTATATGGAATGTGAGAGGTACAGATACAAAATTAGAGAATTGAAGGTGCAAGTGCTCAGGAGTAGTTTCTCTTTCTGTAAAGTACTGATAATAGAAAGACATACTGCGAAGAACATTTTACATATACAATAGTTTCACTTGCTTGTGTTTCTGTTAAGTATTTAGTAATACCCCAGTGGGTGAAACATTGTATAAATAAAATGTTCTTTGTCATTATTCCATTGTCATTGGCTTAGTCATTATTCCTCATGTGTAGTACTCTATTTTTGGCATTCTGTCTTGCTGAGAAGTGTCCAGTGTGTATTTATAATGTTTTCAGTTGTAACCTATACAAACCTAACCTAACCTACAGTGCTCGTCATGGCATTATGCCAGGTGAGCGCCTCGGCATAATGCCATGACGAAAATCAAAGGTATACCATACAGGTAGACCTTAGTGCATTATGGTGGGTAGCAGCCGTTAGCATGTCACGGCCTGCCACCGCACTGCAAAGTAACTCTTCAGTGCTCATGTGGCTGCTGTGGTGAGGGGAAGTATTGCACGTTTATCTCGCATCCACCCCATCTTCTGTCAGGTGTTCATTTTGGTTTTGGGGCTATACATATTTGATTATGGGTAAAAGGAAGTCTTTAACACTTGAAACTATAGCTCAAATCATAGGGCTTCACAAAACTGGGCACCAGATGAAGGAAATAGTGGAGAATGTTGGTGTGTGTGTGTGAGCGTTCAGTGAGGAACTGGGTGCAGAATTTCAAGGCTGGTGGCAGTGTCAAGTTACCATCTGCCAGACCTCAGCCTGGCCCCTCCAAGAAGATATCTGTTCGTAGCTTAACTGTGTTAGAGAAGCAGTTGCTCTCTAACTGCTGAGGAGGGGTTGTTGAAGTGGTTTGAAGTAAAACAGGATGACTTGGAGGATGTATAAATCTGTAGTGGAGGAAAGGAGGGGTAGGAATCGTTCTAGGAAAGGTTGGAGGGAAGGGGTAAAGGTTTTATGTGCGAAGGGCTTGGGTAACCAACAGGCACATATGAGTGTTTAGATAGGAGTGAATGAAGGCAAGTGGATTTTATGGCTTGACATGCTGCTCAAGTGTGAGCAAGGTAACATTTATGAAACAGTTCAGGAAAACTGGTTAGCCAGAGTGAATCCTGGAGGTGGGAAGTACAGTGTCTACACTCTGAAGGAGGAATGGGGATATTGCAGTTTGGAGGGGCATCCAAGCTGTAATGTCAGTAATGTGTGAAGATGCTGCTAAGTGAGCTAGATACCTCAAAGGTGATGGGGGTGGATAACATCTCTCCATGGATCCTGAGAGAGGGAGCAGAGATGCTGTGTGTACCACTAATGTAGTCCCAATTTTTAAGAAAGGAGACAGACACGAATCACTAAACTACAGACTAGTGTCACTAACATGTATAGTATGCAAAGTCATGGAGAAGATTATCAGGAGAAAAGTGGTGGAGCACCTAGAAAGGAACGAGCTTATCAGTGACAGCCAGCATGGGTTCAGGGATGGGAAATCCTGTTTCACAAACCTACTGGAGTTCTATGACAGGGTGTCAGCAGTAAGACAAGAGAGAGAGAGGGATGGGTAGATTGCATTTTCTTGGACTGTAATAAGGCATTTGACACAGTTCCACACAAGAGATTAGTTCAAAAGCTGGAGGACCAGGCAGGGATAACAGGGAAGGCACTACAATGGATCAAGGAATACCTGTCAGGACGACAACAGTGAGTCATGGTACGTGGTGAGGTGTCAGAGTGGGTGCCTGTAATAAGCAGGGTGCCACATGGGTCAGTCTTAGGACCAGTGCTGTTTCTGGTATTTGTGAACGACATGACGGAAGGAATAGACTCCGGTGTCCCTGTTTGCAGATGATGTGGAGTTGATGAGAAGAATTGAATTGGACGAAGACCAGGCAGAACTACAAAGGGATCTGGACAGACTGCAGGCCTGATCCAGAAACTGGCTCCTGCAGTTCAACCTCACCAAGTGCAAAGTCATGAAGATTGGGGAAGGGCAAAGAAGACAGCAGACAGAGTACAGTCTATGGGACCAGGGACTACAAACCTCACTCAAGGAAAAGGATCTTGGGGTGAGTATAACACCAGGCACATCTCCTGAGGTGCACATCAACCAAATAACTGCTGCAGCATATAGGTGCCTAGCAAACCTAAGAACAGCATTCTGACATCTTAATAAGGGATCATGCAGGACCCTGTACACCATGTATGTTAGGCCTATATTGGAGTATGCAGCACCAGTTTGGAACCCACACCTAGCCAAGCATGTAAGGGAACTGGAGATCGACCTTACGACACTGGAGGGCAGGAGAGAGAGGGGGGATATGATAACAACATATAAAATACTGAGAGGAATCGACACGGTGGACAGAGACAGGATGTTCCAGAGATGGGACACAGCAACAAGGGGTCACAGTTGGAAGTTGAAGACTCGGATGAATCACAGGGATGTTAGGAAGTATTTCTTCAGCCACAGAGTTGTCCGGAAGTGGAATAGTCTGGGAAGTGATGTAGTGGAGGCAGGATCCATACATAGTTTTAAGAAGGGGTATGATAAAGCTCATGGAGCAGGAAGAGTGACCTAGTAGCAACCAGTGAAGAGGTGGGGCCAGGAGCTATGACTCGACCCCTGCATCCACAATTAGGCGAGTACACACACATGTACACATACATACATACATACATACATACATACATATGTACATACATATGTACATACATATGTACATACATACATATGTACATACATATGTACATACATACATATGTACATACATATATACATACATACATATATACATGCATACATACGTACGTATATACATACGTACGTATATACATACGTACATATATACATACGTACATATATACATACGTACATATATACATACGTACATATATACATACGTACATACATACATTCGTATAATATACATAGTCATACACACATACATATATACATACTGCACATATATCCCCCCTCCCATACCTACCTACCTTCATTTTGTACTGACAATATATGGAAAATCTTGCCTAAGGTTGAGAAATGTCTATTAATTTTATGTATTTCTTTAGTAAGCACAGTTAATAATTTTTTTTTAATATGATAATATAATTGCATTTATCATTTGCTTTGTATTTAGTTATAGAATAATTGAATAAATGTTAAATAAACATTCATTGTAATATTATTTTTAATTAATGAGAATAACACAACATTTGAACATCTAACATTACAATAAATAATCTGGGAAGATATTATAGGCACCATTTTTGCCTAGAATGTAAAGGAGATGCAGAAAATTTTACCAGTAGCTGATTTTTTCTTCTTTTTGAGGTTATGATTTTTGTGGAATAATAAGCGTGTTGTTTTGGGGTGACCATGCAGCTGGATCACCTATCCTGCAGCTGGATATCCTGAATGACTGTGGCTTTCTTCCTTGGGCATCTGATCTGATTTATCATGGTGTGATTTGTTGGTGCTTTACTTTGCAATTGCCCTTGCTAAAATGTTATTTGACATGTAATAAACAGTATCTTTCTGTAAATTTACTTAGTGGTAATAAGAAGGCAATTAATTATATTAAATGCTTTTCTTTAATGCCTGGATTCAGTAATTTTTTCATAAATTTTGCCCTTGCCTCTCATTTCCTAGAAAGCTTTATAGAAAATTAATATAAAAAACATATGCATAAAGGGTTTCTATTTTACTAGTGAACACAGTAGTACAGTATTTGCCAGTCATAGTATAGAATCTTTTAGAAATCATAAAAACCACAAGTTTCTGCCCATAGTCAGGAATTTTTCTCTAGCATTTATGTTCTGGTACATTGAGACCTTCATTAAACCAGACGGCCAACTTGTTGAAAAAAAAAAAAGTTAGTTAGCAACCACCTCAACTTCCTCATTACCAACATTTAAAAAATTTGAAATACAAGTCAAAACATGAGTGTTAATCTAATGGGATTGTAAGTCTGGAAATTTGTAGGTTTTGAAGTCACAGGTTGAGGGATGATGGTATCTAGTTAGTTTTTTGCTGTTTTGCTTATAAAAATTATTTAAAAAATCTGCATGTACAGTATCTATTTTTATTTAACCCTTAAACTGTCCAAACGTAGATCTACGTTCATGTGCGTAGTGCTCTGACCTTGAGTTTCCCCATTTGAAAGCGTGTAAAAAAGACGTAGATCTACGTTCGGAGCCCCCCACACGTGGACGTAGATCTACGTTTGGACAGTTTAAGGGTTAAGCTCTACTGTAAGACCCATAGGGGTTAAATGCAGGTTTTGAATATAAAGTACAGTAATAATAATTTTCATATTTGAATTATGCTTATAAAATTATATTTTTTTTTCTTGTAATTACTCTATAATACAGTATTTACTAATTCAGTCAGGTATTTGCTTTTATATTTTAGAACCTCGTATGTGCCTTTGTTCAAAACACTTACTGAAGCTTAATCTCAATTTTTATCTTTAACTTCCACTGGCAGCTGGAGGGCAGAGTTCACAGAAAGTGAAGGCAGCCAATAAACTACGTGTGCAGACCTCCAAAATAGTCTCCAGTTTTAAGAATGATACAGTGTCATGCCGTATGGTGCGGGAGTACGTTGGCCACCGAGATGGAGTGTGGGACGTATCAGTATCTCGAGTTGGCACTCCAGTTATTGCTACTGCTTCAGCTGGTGAGGTGACATAGTAGTATTTATTACACTGATGATCAGTTTGTCTTGGAGTTATATGCACCACTGTTGCCAGGAATGCTATGTAGTGCATAGTTTTTATAGATTAAGTCACAGCGTAGGTAAAGTTGCTTATTGAGTAGTGCTTAGTCAGCAGAAAAAAAATCATTGGCTCTTGTCAGAAAGATAACTCTTGATTTCTTTTCAAGGACTACAGATGAAATATAAATGGAAAATGAGACAATATAGTTTTCCACTCTAGAATTAGCCATCAGCACCACAACATTGAAAATAATATGGTGCATGTATTGTGTAACCATTCATGAAGGTAATGTTTATAAAAGGGGTACAGGGTAATAGGCTGACAGGACTTGAGTTATGGAAGCAGAAGGTACATTGCCTGTAATTTGAAGGCTGTGTGAGGTGGTTGCAGGTTGGAGTTTCATTTGAATGTTGTCAATGTACTTTTGACAAAACTGCAAAAGATCACCCTACCTTGGTGGGAACCAACCATTGTGGTAAAATGAAATTTTGATTTAATATCATGAAGAAAATGAATTATTAATACTGTGCTTCAATAAGTTGTTCTTTTTGACAACTGCATTTGTTCTCATTCAGATCAGACAGCATGTGTTTGGGGTATTGATGGAGGGCGGAACTTACTGCAGTACACAGGCCACTCAGGATCAGTCAACTCTGTCAAATTTCATCCATCACAAGACTTGATTCTTACAGCAAGTGGTGACCACACAGCTCATGTATGGCAAGCTGCCATCACTCCTGACCAGCTAGTAGGTTTTTAGAAATATTTTTCTTAAAATAAAATGAAGTTTCATCTCCATAAATAACCCTCACTTACCAGAGGAAATTTTAGATGACATTTTTTAGTCTATCCTGGATCATTATCAAGTCAGATTATCAGGCGACTTAACAATGGTTAATGACAGACAGAAATGATATCTAAAGTTTTCTTTAGTGAGTCCTGGTTGCTAGAGAGCTGTTCCAGCCATTGTATTTTGACTTATTCTTCAGGTTTCATCTTTTTATTTTTACATTAAGGCATCATGAATCCAAATTTCAAAATTAAGACCTCCATTTGTTCAGAAAATTTTTGCTATACCCCTTAGAACTGGTATCTGGGTAAATCCCTCATAATCTGGAAATAGATTTTCTGAAATGTGCCACCTCTTATGGGCAATTACTCACTTTCTGCAGCCATTATCTAGATTTTAATTCTGTACAGCGTCTCCTCACTTAACGATGTATGTACTCGTTTACCGATGACTCGGACTTATGACTGGCTCTCTGACCAGTATACATACCTAAATAATGTATATTAGATCTGATTTCCTCTATTCTGTTTATTACAATGTACAGTACACTGCCGTATAAACATTTAAAAATAAACCAGAAATGTTATAATTGGCACAAAGGCGACATTAAAACAATATCAAAAATGGTTGACACAAACCCATTACCATTATAGTATGCTCCTCACTTAGCGATGAATTCATTTACCGACATGGTCTTAGGAACGGAACTCTGTCATTAAGTGAGGAGAGGCTACTGTGTTCTAGTGCGAGGGAAGTGTGACTGTTTTCGCATCACAAAAAATTTAATATGTTATGGCATCTAAGAAGAAGTCTGAGCCTAGTGATATTTTAAGGAAAGCACCAAATAAAAGTGAATACACAGTGCAACACAATACTGAAGAAAGTGGATGGAGAGCTTGCACGTGACATCCTGCCAGTTGCCAGGTGCACCAGTGATGGTGTTTATCTCTTATAAGTCCCGAGAAAACCGTATTTGACTTGTAATACTACTCTACTAATACTACAGATATTATTTTTTTTATTTTTTTATTAATATTTTTTTACTTTATTATTTTTTATTTATCAATTTTATTATTTTTTATTATTAATGTTGGTGTAAGGATTCTGAAGCATTGATAATATATATTTATTTGTAATATGTGCTCACATTCTAAAATTTAATGCTCTAGTGTGTAGCTCTGTCTCTGTCCACACTTTGCATTTCATGTGACTGACATCTCTATACACTATTATAATTAGGGAGAAGCACCGACTCCATAAGAGCCATACAACACCTAAGGAATGGGAGGCACCAGGTGTGATATAAGAAAGAGGAGGATCAGTCCAATTCCTTGGATTAAGAGCTCATCAGCAATTGGTGGATTTGATGGAAGTTGTGAATGCAGCAGAGTGAAACTTTTCCCAGGTGTCCCATGGGCCACACTTGTTTCCTGATTTCCTTTAATCTAAATCCCTTTAGGAATATACTATTTTAGACATGACTGCGTAAGTTGATTAATCCTGTAAGGTTCCATTTACTGCTCTCGCTGGTGCTGTAAAATTGGGCCCATTTGTTATTAAGCACTGGGCCCAATTTTAATTTAATTAATGTTAAACGCAAAACACGTGGGTCATTCAGCACAAGATGTGGTGGAGGCTTGATCCTCCATCTGCTGAATAGGAGATGGACGATCTTTTTATTTGTACTCGAGTATTTCCTGGGCCTGATGATACACATATTCATACGCTTCTTCATTTACACTCTTCAGTATTAGACCTATTATTACCTTCCCTTGTGGTTAGTCTAAAGGATTGGCACTCATACAGTGGAGGTCTACCATGGCCCTTCCTTTTCAGAAACCAGGAATGTCAGACTGTGATCCCTCCCATTATCCACCCATATATCTCACTAGTCCCAGTTGCAAATTAGTGGAACATATTCAACAAAAAATCTGCATTTTGGAGAGGAACCTCATGATATGTTGGTTCATCCTGGACTATTGTCAAAATTGGGACAATAATATTTTATATGCAGTATTATAGTGCACATAAGCTCTGTGATCATGCAGTAATATGTGATCTGGGTGTAGGTTTGTAATGCTCTCATATTTCTTTTTATGCCATAACTATTGTACAATGTATTAATGTGGAGGAGCATATATTGTTACTACTGTTTTTTTTTTCTCTCTTCCCTCATTCTCAACATGCTGGCTGTCTTCCACTGAGGCAGGGTGACCCAAGAAAAACACTTTCACCATCATTCACACATATTCAGTGTCTGCTTATTATTATTATTATTATAAAATACTGTCTGTACTGAATTTCTGTTCAGGAACAAGAATGGCTTTACAGATGAAAAAATCTTCAAGGAAAACTCCTTAATGCTGGTGAAGGCCTCTTGATCCAAGGAATTGGAGCTGCCCTCCCTTTTCTCAGGAAAAAAATCCTGATTACCTCCCATTCCCCAGGTGCTATATGACCTATACATATTTAGTACTTCTCTATCAATATGTAGTACTAACTCAGGTTAAAATAAAAGTTAATGTGTACCTTCATACTGTTGGTAGGTAAGACACCTACCAACCTGTCGGTATTGTATACCATTTTGATATTCATCTTCATACTGTATTGAGGTCAAGCTCAATAAGTAGGCTTTTGGGAGCATTTTTTCTTTTTCAAGTTTATACTGCTGGTTTAAATTCTGAATGAATATTAAAAACTTGTATTGCACAGCGTGTGCATTCTTCAGAGGATGAAGTTGATGGCAGCGATCACGAAGATGAAGAAGATGGAGGCCTTTTGGGTGGTCGAGGTGATGGAGTATTAGCAGCTACACTGCGGACAGCTCTAAGGGAATTAATGGGGCATAATAGTGTTGTTATTGCAGCAGACTGGCTGCCAGGTGGAGATCAAGCTATTACTGCTTCATGGGACAGAACAGCTAACCTTTATGATACACACACTGGTGAACTGCTGTCTCAGTTGATTGGTGAGTTAAGTTATTACATAGTACTGTATAGGATAATTACAGCCGTTGAAGTATGAAGCATTCCATGCTTAATATTATCCCTGTTGTACGAGCAGTGACCAAAGATATGCTCGGTAAGTTAAAGTTGTGCATCTACAGTATGCCTGTAGTAAGAAGGGACAGCCATTGCTTATTATTTATTATTATTAACACACTGGCCGATTCCCACCAAGGCAGGGTGGCCCAAAAAAGAAAAACTTTCACCAACATTTACTCCATCACTGTCTTGCCAGAAGGGTGCTTTACACTACAGTTTTTAAACTGCAACATTAACACCCCTCCTTCAGAGTGCAGGCACTGTACTTCCCATCTCCAGGACTCAAGTCCGGCCTGCCAGTTTCCCTGAATCCCTTCATAAATGTTACTTTGCTCACACTCCAACAGCACGTCAAGTATTAAAAACCATTTGTCTCCATTCACTCCTATCAAACACGCTCACGCATGCCCGCTGGAAGTCCAAGCCCCTTGCACACAAAACCTCCTTTACCCCCTCCCTCCAACCTCTCCTAGGCTGACCCCTAACCCGCCTTCCTTCCACTACAGACTGATACACTCTTGAAGTCATTCTGTTTCACTCCATTCTCTCTACATGTCCGAACCACCTCAACAACCCTTCCTCAGCCCTCTGGACAACAGTTTTGGCAATCCCACACCTACTCCTAACTTCCAAACTACAAATTCTCTGCATTATATTCACACCACACATTGCCCTCAGACATGACATCTCCACTGCCTCCAGCCTTCTCCTCACTGCAACATTCATCACTCATGCTTCACATCCATATAAGAGCATTGGTAAAATTATACTCTCATACATTCCCCTCTTTGCCTCCAAGGACAAAGTTCTTTGTCTCCACAGTCTCCTAAGTGCACTGCTCACCCTTTTCCTCTCGTCAATTCTATGATTCACCTCATCTTTCATAGACCCATCCGCTGACACGTCCACTCCCAAATATCTGAATACATTCACCTCCTCCATACTCTCTCCCTCCAATCTGATATCCAGTCTTTCATCACCTAATCTTTTTGTTATCCTCATAACCTTACTCTTTCCTGTATTCACTTTTAATTTTCTTCTTTTACATACCCTACCAAATTCATCCACCAACCTCTGCAACTTCTCTTCAGAATCTCCCAAGAGCACAGTGTCATCAGCAAAGAGCAACTGTGACAACTCCCACTTTGTGTGATTCTTTATCTTTTAATCCCATGCCTCTTGCCAAGACCCTCGCATTTACTTCTCTTACAACCCCATCTATAAATATATTAAACAACCACGGTGACATCACACATCCTTGTCTAAGGCCTACTTTTACTGGGAAATAATCTCCCTCTTTCCTACATACTCTAACTTGAGCCTCGCTATCCTCGTAAAAACTCTTCACTGCTTTCAGTAACCTACCTCCTATACCATACACCTGCAACATCTGCCACATTGCCCCCCTATCCACCCTGTCGTACACCTTTTCCAAATCCATAAATGCCACAAAAAGCTCTTTAGCCTTATCTAAATACTCTTCACTAATATGTTTCACTGTAAACACCTGGTACACACACCCCCCTACCTTTCCTAAAGCCTCCTTGTTCATCTGCTATCCTATTCTCCGTCTTACTCTTAATTCTTTCAATAGTAACACATTATATCACTTAAGAGGAGAGCTTTTTTGGATTTAGTTTAATTAACAACTGCAGACATCTTTACTTTTAATTGCAATTAATCATTGTTTTTCCAAATAGAACTTGCATACCATTATAGGCAAGTGCCACTTTACGGCATTTCACTAAAGCAGCTGTTTTTAATTATACCCACTCTTCATTTATTCAGACTTCCTACAGTAAATATATTCACCACTCACTATAAGCTAAGGACAAAAATGTTTTAAAGTAAGTAATGTGTGAACTGTATATGCATTTTTTAGGCCTAGCTCTATTGTTCATTTAATATAAGATAGTGTAAACATGTTATCAGGCTTTTATAATCATTTAACCCCTTCAGGGTCCAAGGCCCAAATCTGAAGTGGTGCCCCAGTGTCCAAGAATTTTCCAAAAAAAAAATTTTGTTATTTTTTCTTATGAAATGGTAGAGAATCTTTTTGTGAAGGTAATAAAACAAAAAGTATGAAATTTGATGGAAAATTGACGAAATTATGCTCTCGCAAATTTTGATGTGTCAGCGATATTTACGAATCGGCAATTTTGCTGACTTTGACTTCCATTTTAGGCTAATTACATCATTCCATGCGACCAAATTCTTAGCTATTTCACTAGTATTACTTCTATTCTATTGATTGAGCACAAGAAATCGCCAAGTCAACTGTTTCAACTACAAAATAAAGTGATCGGAAATTGGTAATTTGGCCAATTTAACACAAAGTTCAAAATATTCCAATTTCAAAATAGCGTCCTGAATAAACAATGTAGGCATTCCTGGCACTAAACTAACATTTCCTTGGTTCATTAGTTACGTTTTGAGGCTTTACAAATAAATCCCATATTGATTTTTTATTCACATAATGAATTTTTATTCACACCAAAAAATAGAAGATTTACTGTTACGCAATATTGTAATAATTGTATAAATATCATCACCACATTTGTGAATGTATATTAGACCCACCAGCTGGCGTGTATTAGATGTGTGAGGTCGTTTGTTTACTCTTGAACATCGGCAAAAATTTAACATTTCCGCTACTTTGAGCTCAGTTTCAAGCCATTTCCAGTGCTAAAACCAATCAAAATCATCTCTACTTCTGTAATATGTCTTCCATTCTATCAAATGAGACCAAGAAATTGCAAATACAACTATAAAAAACATACGAAAAAACACTGCAAAGTTGCTGTTTTAATCGAAAATCTTGGTTTCAGTTTTTTTCTCTCATTATACACAGTGTGCTGCAGGATTTGTTTTATGTGGTGCACACATACCACATAGATGTATTCTCTCATATCTAGGCCCAAGTGTACCACTCACAGTTTATCAGAGTGAGCTGAGCTCATGACGTAGATCTACGGTTTGGACCCTGAACGTAAAGCCGTAGATCTACGGGACGGACCCTGAAAGGGTTAAAAGCGAAATAAAGCTTTTTCGCTTTACAGCAGTAGTCTGGAACTCAACATGCTGTATAAACAGGGCCTTCCTGTATTTTCTTTTGTCACCATAGTATAAGCAAGGTTCAGTATTGTACTAGTATTCTTATGCTAAAAGGGCTTGTTGATGTTAATTTTGAATAAATATGGAAACAAAACTAATATGAAAGATGGAATACACGACATTCGGTGAAGATACCTGTACAGTAGTTACCTGTACAGTAGTCCCTCGTTTATCGTCCTTAATCCGTTCCTGGAAGTGGGACTATTATCGAAATAGACGATTTTTGAATCAATTTTCCCCATAAGAAATAATGTAAATACAATTAATCCGTTCCCGACACCCAAAAGTATTAAAACAAAAAAATTTTTTACATGAAATATAGATGTAGTACATAAACAATACAATGGGACATGATGAATGAAACATTAACAGCATAACACTTACCTTTATTGGTGATTCTTCTTAGTGTATGGAAGACTGGAGGAGGAGAGAGATTGGATTACTGTTTGGAAGGGGAATCCCCTTCCATCAGCACCTCAGGTACCAAGTGCTTTTCTGGGGTTACTTCTCTTCTCTGTTTTTTAATGCCACTAGGACCAGCTTGAGTCACTGGAGTCCTGTCTCGCAAAAAACTGTCCAGAGAGCTCTGTTTCTGGCGTGTCTTTAAAACTTCCCTAAAATGGGCCAAGACTCTGTTACTATACAAGTTGCCGATATGGCTTGCAACATCTTTTTTAGGGTGATGTTTCTCCATAAATCTTTCCATCCAACCCCACATTTCCTTAATTTCTGAAGAAGGCATCTTCTTCCATCTCTCTTCCTCCTCCTCTGCAGCAAGATTCTGAGCTGCGATCTGTTTCTCTTCCTGCTGAAGCTCTTGCAGCTCCTCAGTGGTTTGCTCTTCGTTGTGGTCCTCCACCAACTCTTCCACATCCTCCAAACTCACATCCAACCCCATGGAACTCCCCAATGCCACAATAGAGTTCACAACTGACATAGGCTCATCAGGGGCTTCCTCAAACCCTTCAAAATCCCTCTTGTGGACACAATCTGGCCACAAGTTTCTCCAAGCAGAGTTCAAAGTCTTGGTAGTCATTCCCTCCCAAGCCTTACCTATAAGGCTTATGCAGTGGAGAATACTGAAGTGTTCTTTCCAAAAATCTCTTAGGGTCAAGTGAGTGTCTGAGGTCACATTAAAGCACCTTTCAAACATTGCTTTGGTGTAGAGTATTTTAAAGTTTGAAATGACCTGCTAGTCCATGGGCTGGAGGAGAGGAGTGGTATTTGGGGGCAAGAACTTTACTGTGATGAACCTAAACTCCTTCAGAATTAGGTCATCCAAGTTTGGAGGATGAGCAGGTGCATTGTCCATTACTAGGAGGCACTTGAGATCCAATTTCTTTTCCAGGAGGTAATTCTTCACACTAGGGCCAAACACTTCATTGAATCACTCGATGACAATTTCCCTCGTGATCCATGCCTTATTATTAGATCTTCAAAACACACACAATTTACTCTTCATAACATTGTTTTTATTGAACACTCTGGGATTTTCAGAATGGTACACTAGTAACGGCTTCACTTTGAAATCCCCACTAGCATTAGCACAGAACATGAGCGTCAGCCTGTCTTTCATAGGCATGTGTCCTGGCCAGTGCCTTTTCCTCCTGAGTAATGTAGGTCCTCTTTGGCATTTTCTTCCAAAAGAGGCCTGTTTCGTCACAATTGAACACTTGTTCAGGTTTCAGTCCTTCAGCCTCTATGTACTCCTTGAATTCCTGCACATATTTTTCAGCCGCTTTTTGGTCCGAAATGGCAGCCTCACCATGCCTTATCACACTGTGCATGCCAGTACACTTCCTAAATCTCTCAAACCAACCTTTGCTGGCCTTAAATTCACTCACATCACCACTAGTTGCAGGCAATTTCTTTACCAAATCGTCATGCAACTGCCTAGCCTTTTCACAAATAATTGACATCATAAGACTATCTCCTGCTAATTGTTTCTCGTTTATCCACACCAATAATAACTTCTCAATAACTTCAAGTACTGGTGATCTCATTTTTGTCAGCATATTTACCCCTTTGGAACAACAGCTTCCTTGATTTCCTTTTTCTTGGCTATGATGAAAGATATGGTTGTACGGGATTTGTTATACATCCTGGCCAGTTCGCCCACACATTCGCCACTTTCATATTGTTCAATGATGTTTTTCTTAAATTCAGTTGTATTTCTCACCTTCTTTACCAAAGGCTTGGCACTAGGAGCTTTCTTTGGAGCCATGGTAGCTTATTTAGCACTTGCAAGCACTAAAATGAATGGAATAGCATTATGAAATATTTCGTATGAACGAGTGAGGGGACCATCGCTCACTGGTAAATAATGGCACACTGGCTGGGAAGGGAGGACAACGCGCTCAGAGCCGTGAGTACGCGTCCAGGACGAAAGATGATTAGCGAGTTAACGGACCATTTGTGAGCCAATGTTTGGACAAAATAACGCGACGATTTCCGAAAAGGACGATTATCGAGGGACCACTGTATATGAGTGTGACTAGAAATATGTATACTTGTACTGTACGAGTACGAGTGGTTAGCTTTTCCCTGTGGTCATCCACTAACTCTTCCACATCCTGGCCACTCACACCCAACCCCATGGACTTTCCCAAAGATGCAATAGATTCCACAATAGGCATAGGGTCATCAGGGTCAGCCTCAAACCCTTCAAAAGCCTTCTCAAGGACACATTTTGGTCAGTTTTCTCCAAGCAGAGTTTATCGTCCAGGAAGTCACTCCCTGCCAAGCCTTATCTATAAGGCTTATGCAGTTGAGGATTTTGAAGTGATTCCTCCAGAACTCTCTTAGGGTGAATTCAGTGTCCGAGGTCGCCTCAAAGCGCCTTTGAAACAGTGCTTTGGTGTAGAGTTTTTTGAAGTTTGGAATGACTTGCTGGTCCATGGGCTGGATGAGAGGAGTGGTATTAGGGGGCAAGAACTTCACTGTGATGACACTAAACTCCTCCAACAGTTGGTCTTCCAAGCCTGGAGGATGAGCAGGACCATTGCCCATTACCAGGAGGCCCTTGAGTGGCAGTTGATTTCCCAGGAGGTATTTCTTCACACTTGGGCCAAACACTTCACTGACCCACTCAATGAAAATTTGCCTCGTTACCCATGCCTTATTGTTAGCCTTCCACATCATACACAATTTACTCTTGATGACATTGTTTTTCTTGAACACTCAGGGATTTCAGAGTGATACACCAGTAAAGACTTCACTTTGAAATCCCCCCTAGCATTACCACAGAACAAAAAAGTTAGCCTATTCCTCATAGGTTTGTGCCCCAGCAGTGCCTTTTCCTCTTGCGTGATGTAGGTCCTCTTTGGCATTTTCTTCCAAAAGAGGCCTGTTTCGTCACAATTGAAGACTTGTTGGGGGAGGAATCCTTCAGCCTCTATGTACTCCTTGAATTCATTAACAGAGTCTTCAGCCCCACATTTGTCCAAACTTGCGACCTCGCCATGCCTTACCACACTGTATGCCAGCTCACTTCTTGAATTTGTCGAACCAGCCTCTGCTGGCCTTAAATTCACTAACAGCAGCACTCGTTCCAGGCATATTTTTTGCGAGATCTGCATGCAACTGCCTTGCCTTTTCACAAATTATCACCTCCAGAACACCTTCTCCTGCTAACTTTTTCGTTGATCCACACCAACAACTACTTCTCAACATCTTCGATTGCTTGCGATCTCTGTTTTGTTAGCAAATTTACCCCTTTCGCAATATCAGTTTCCTTGATTTCTTGTTTCTTCACCAGGATGGAACTGATTGTTAATGCAAACTTCCCGTTCATCCTGGCAAGATCAGCCACGTGTACACCACTTCGTGCTTTGTTTTGAATTCTTTCTTGAATTCTATCATGTTTCTCGCCTTCTTTATCAAAGGGCTGGCACTCAACTTTCTTTGGCCTTGTAATGGCTTATTTAGCAGTCGCACTCAATAAACAAACACAAAAGAACAATGGATTATTACAAAATGTTTTGGATGAACTCGCGGGGTGATGCTCACTCCTGTGTTTGTGACTGAGTCACAAACACATGGGATGCTTTATGTGGGTGCTCAGTTCCAGGAAATGAGTGGCTGAGTCACGCGAGCAGGCGGACGAATTTGGTATGGACCATTTTCAGCTGTACAGAAACTGAGTGGATGTACGAAAACTGGGACAAAATTTTGACGAAAAGTCGTCGAAAACCGAATCGTGTGTAATCTAGGGCATATGAAAACCGAGGTTTGACTGTACTGTTATTGAATGAGATTACAAACTTCTGTGCATTTTTTAACTGATTGTATGGCTTTAAATCTTCTGAACTTTTTGAGACCATATTTAAGAACTGACTCAAATTTTTCTTTAGGCCATGACCAGGAATTGACTCACTGCTGCTCACACCCCACTCAACGCCTTGTAGTGACCGCTAGTAAAGATACAACTTTCCGATTGTGGGACTTCCGTGATCCAATACACTCTGTATCAGTCTTCCAGGGGCACACAGAGTATGTATATCTTCACTTATTTTCTTATTATGCTTTAATTTTTTTTACCTGATTTTTATTGTGAATTAAGTACATTAACTCTTTTGACAGTATTATAAGCTCTGCATGTTAACCCCTAAACTGTCCACACGTAGATATATGTTCACGTGCGGCAGGCTCCGAACGTAGATCAACGTTTTATTTTTCATTCCTTCAAAATTGGCGGGATATGCCTGAGTCGCCTAGACATGAGGGAATGGATGTACGCACTCAGTGTGCGCACATTGAAAAAAATCGGGGATGCTGGGGTACCACATGGTAACAACAGTTAGTTTCAGCTCCATCTTGGGTCAACATCATGGCAAACCCCCGTGATTCACTGACGCCTCGGCGTATTAACACTCTACTATTCCCGGAAAGTGATACAGAACGCGAGTTTAGTGATTTTGACTCTGATATAGCCACTAAAGATCAAGGAATTAGTGAAACTTTTGTTGATAACCCAGATGACCCTCAGGACATGACCTCTAGGGTGGCCAGTGTGGATAGTATGGACAGTGTGGCCATACCAGACCCTCAGCCCAGCACTTCTGAGGCGGCCAGTGTGGCCACAACAGACCCTCAGTCCAGCACCTCTGGGGTTGCTAGTGTTACTTCCCAAAGGCAACTCCGCAAGAGGAAATTATCATTTTACATGCGTTATGGTGATGATAGTGAAAGTGATGTAAGTGACGATGATGAAATTGATTTTATGCCGATAGGCGATTCGTTGAGTGAAAGTGATTATCATTTTTCCCCAGTGAAACGTACTTTTAGGTGTTGTAACCTACGTTCAGGCAGTGTGCCATATGTAGTCGGTGGCAAGGATTGTGGCAGGTCACGATCCGAAACCCCAGCCACTGATAGTGATAATGAAGGTGAATATGCTGGGATGGAGGAAGAAGGGGTTAGCATGGTGCCTGGACCTCGTTGCGCAGTGGGTGGGCAGACAAAGGACCGCCCAGCACCCTCTCAACCATGTGTTGCCTCCACTCCTGTCCCCTCTCCTCCTGCTCCCCCACACCCCATGCCACAGGTCCACCCTGCACCAAGTGACCTCAAATGGAACTGGACAGAAAGTACACCATTTGTGCCACATCCTTTCAATGTTGATGCCAGTGGAAGTGGCATCATGCCACACTGTCCCATTACAAATGAGTCTACAGAGTTAGACTATTTTCAACTATACTTTGATGAGCTGATGATGAACCTAATTGTTACCCAGACCAATATGTACTACCAGTATACAATGGACCACACAGATGTTTCAGAGTCTTCACAGCTGTGCAGGTGGAAAGATACAACTGTGGCTGAAATGTATTTGTTCCTTGGCACGGTCATGCTTATGCCACACACCTATAAGAGCAATATAGCACACTCCTGGTCCACAGACCACTTCATCAGTACTCCAGTCTTCCGTGACCTCCTTCCTTGCAACAGATTCACTCTGTTGCTACAAATGTTGCACTTCTCAGACAGGAATACGCCAAACAGAAATGACCTCTTATACAAAATCTGGGAATTGTTTATGTATCTGAAGCAAAAATTCAGTGCCTGCTTTTATCCATTCGAGAACATTGTCGACGAGTTCTTAGTTCTGTTCAAGGGATGACTGTCATTTAAACAATATATACAAAGCAAACGTAATCGCTTTGGTATAAAACTCTTTGTGATGTGTGAGTGTTAGCCTGGTTTTGTGTTGGATGTCATTATCTACACAGGGAAAAATACACTCGGCAATACTAGGTGCATGTTGGGCATTTCTGGGGATGTTCGCAAGATGATGGCGCCATACCTTGGCAAAGGTCATACATTATTCACAGACAACTGGTATACAAGCCCTATGCTCGCAGATTTCCTACGTGTGAACAATACTGATATATGTGGAGCAGTGAGAAGTAGAAAACACATGCCAAGGTTCACTGGAGGAAGTCTAGTAGAAGCATTTCATGCCAGTGACATCATGGCACTGATGTGGCATGACAAATGGGACGTGACGTTGCTGTTAACCATCTACATAAACGTGATGGTACAGACAGACAGACTGAGCAGGTTCAACAATGAACCTATTGTAAAGTCAGCTGCTGTCATCGACTATATGAACAATATGCGACTAGTTGACAAGTGTGACATGATGATAGGGTTTGTTGACTGTGTGCATAGGAGTCGCAAATGGTATATAAAAGTTTTTTTCCACCTTGTAGACATTGCAATGCTCAATGCCTTCAACATGTATGAAATAAAGACTGGGAAACGACAACGATATGCAGAATTCACCCTCAATATCATCAGGCAGATAGCAAAAAAGTATTGTATCACACCTATACCTGTCACTCCACAGCGACCTGTCACCCCACAACAGCGACCTGTCAATCCACAAGAAGAGGGGGAAGTGCCTGACCGAATAATTCCTAACTGTCACTGCCTGGTACCATTACCATCTACTCCAAAGAAGTACACTCAAAAAAGTGTGTTGTGTGTGCTTACACTAAACAGTGGCCCCAGGTGCGAAAAGACACAAGATACACGTGTCAGCAATGTGGGGTGGCACTCTGTATGAATCCGTGCTTCTTGGAGTACCATACAGTGGTGGACTTCTAGAAACATAAATGGGACTTGTAAACACCTTGTATGTATATATATATGTAAACAATAGTATGTGATTGAACCAGGTGTACAAATACATTTATCAGTGTGAACATGTGTGTTTGTGACAGTGTGATTACTAATTCAGTACAAAACATTTGTGTCTCATCAAGAATTGGCTATGAAATCAAAAGATCTGCAACAAAACATTATCATAACATGAAAACAACAAAAAATAGAAAAGAATTGGAAAAAAACGATAAATGTTTATTATTTCTGCAAGCAGCAGTGCCCCATGTTGCCGAAACCTCATCATTTAGCACCAACTTTGCGGGCTTATATCTCGGTAAGTACTGACCCTAAAATTTTTTTTTTTTATCCTGTACCATTTATAAAAATGCGCTCTTCAATTTAAAAACAAAAAACAAAAATTTTATTTTTCAAAATATTTGGAGCGCTGCGCAGGTGAACGTATATCGATGTTTGGACAGTTTAAGGGTTAAGAGTCTGCTTCACTTGAAATTGATATGATGTTTTCAAAGTGAATTTCTCTTTCTTAAAGGTGATTGACCTTGCATAGGAATATCAACAACTTAAAAGAACTGTTTTAACCTTTTATTTTATTTTATTTTTTTTTTTTTTTTGTGAGAGAGAGTGAATGAATGAATGAATCTGCACCATAAAAGCAAAGCACTTCTCCTGTATTACTCATGGTGGCCATGAAATCATGTATATTAAAAACAATGTTCCCTAAAACTATTTTATTTTATATATAGGCTGAAATTTTTCTTTCTTTTAGATACTAGTCTAACTAAGGGTTACCTTTTAGTTAAATTAAATTGATTACATTTTGAATTTGATCTTATTATAATACAGGTGTAATTCTGTATAATATATGGCTTAGAAGAAAGCCATTAATTATGCAAATGCATTTCAGGCACACTAATCATGTGGCTTTCTTGCATACTGTTTATATCTAGACCTAAAATAAAATTTAAGTCAGTATAGCTTAGGTAATTCATCACAATCATACATGCAATGCAACAAGTTGCAAATGAAGAATTGGTCAATTACAATACATTATATTGAAGAATTAGACCCCTTTTGCAGCATTTGGGAATCTGTGGAAACATTTTGCCAACAACTTCATGGGGAAGTGGATGTTACAAAAAACGCGATTCTAAAAGCTTAGATATCTCCAGTGAATACTAGAAAGGACTGCCCTTCTAGCATCCAGCCTGTTACTGGGTTTTCGTAACAAGTAGTCAGTATCCTTGTCCAATTATCCATTAGAATTCAGTATGATTCAATAGTGCTTCAGGATTACAACTGGTAGGCTACTAACTAGAGAAATTAAAATTTAATAAATTTATTAAGTCTAGAGGTATATTATCAAATTAAATTAAATTAAATTAATCGCAGTAATCAAAATAATATTAATCACTTCTCTCGTATACAGTATTATTGTGTTGAAAGCACATATCACATTTATAATTCTTAAGTACCGTCTGGTACATTAACATTTAATAAGATATTACAAATATGTACAAGTAAGTTTGTGTGTATGTGTGTAAGTGCTCTAAGTAGTTCGCTATGTCTCAAAACTCGACTAGACTTAAACAAGTGACTGACAAAGACCTCAAATAAACTAACTTCTTGACCAACTGGCAATCAGAACAGTCTGCTTGAACAATAAAAAGAATGCTAAGCCCAATAGCAATATAACAAGCAACTGCGACACAGAATCAGGAACAAGGAGATAATATAACGACACTAAGTGGGGACCATCAGCAGATCCTCCACAAAAGTCACAAAACTCCCATACTACTGAATCTAAGTTCAGCATAAGAAAATCCCCGACTGTGATAATACACAGATACCAGTACAAGTTAGGTCAGAAGCTACAGCTCAGGACCTGAGTTGCTCAGAGTGTCATTGCGACACAATCTCAGTACAACGTCGAAAATCACTAAGTCTATACAATGTTCTGTGAACAGAGCTCTACAGAACTAACAAGAATAATGAGACAGACAATCTGTCCAACCACCAAGCGAGTCTAGACCAGACTGAATACTTCAGGCGAGGTGAGGACACCCCCCCCTTGATCACGTGATAGCTCCGTGGGTAGCTGCAGCTCAGAAACAGAAGCCGGCAGTCTAACGAGCCACAAGCGATAATTACAGTAGTTAGACAATCAAGACTTGAACTGAGCACATAATATGTTACATCCTACCTAACCAAAGGAAGCTAAGTCAAATAACAATATAAAGCAATACATTTACGATTTAGCTATTATCGCAAATATAAGCAATATAAAATTATATGAAAAGATAATAATTATATATATATATATACATAATAATCATTGCAACCCATTCAGGGGTTGCAACAGTGGAGAAGATTCTTACACCGTAAACCATGCATGTCATAAGAGGTGACTAAAATTCCAAGACCAAGGGGCTAATAACCCCTTCTGTATAAATTACTAAATGTAAAAAGAAGAAAAAATTTTGTTTCTTCTTTTTTTGGGTCACCCTACCTTGGTAGAAGACCAGTGTGTTAAAAATTTTGCCAACAAGTGGCTTCATAAGGCCCTCAGTAAGTATTATTATACTTAAGGGCCTGGGGGATGGATTCTTGAGAGTGCAAGGCCACCATCCATGGCGGTAGTATCTCCCTACCAACCTAACACCAGCTGTATGAGAAAGGTAGTTTTTGCAGTCTCTCATGGGTTTAATTCAGAGCAGTACTTGGTCATGTCAGGAGACTTGTATGTGATGGCATTCTTTATCAGCTTTATTGTCAGCAGTGTCTCCATCAACTACAAAATTCTTGTCAAAATATTGGATTAATGTTGGCATATATGGACACAAAATGGGAAACTTACGGATAAACTTATGGACCAAAAACACCTTGGATTGACACTGAATAATCACCTTTGCTTGCATAATGACCTTGTGCAATCTGTGCCTTATTATTGGTGAAAGGCTTTTGATCCAAAGAATTGGAACTACCATTCCTTTCCTCATTTCCAACATAATTACCTCTCATCCCAAGGCACTGCACTATCCCTTACAGGATTAGGGCCTCCCCATGATTATACAATACAAATTTTATTTCTTTGCAAAGGTTACACTGTGTGATTTATATTTTATAAAGTATTGTTAAGTACAAAGAAAGCCACTAACATGCCGGGGCATTTCAGGCAGACTAATCCAAATGCTTGCACACTACTAAAAACTAAACATGGGTTATAGAGTGGTAAATTTTAATTATTCATTATTTTACCTTATTACTAAAGTAGAGTCTAAGCAATCTGTAGTGGTGACTCATGCCAGGCAAAATTGGAGAACATGCAGCTCCTAGGACTATGTTGATTATTGCATAGTTGTCTATGGTAAGGTAGTGTTTGAGATGAAATTTTTTTTTTTTTTGGAATGCATCTTGGAGTTTTTGCCTAGTACAAAAAGTGAAAGGGTTAAAAATTATTTTTCAAGGTGTACAGTAAGTTTCTGTGAAGCCTCTTGTTAAATTAAAAAAAATATAACCTCTGTATTTCACCAAATAAAGAGACATTTAAACTCAATAAACTTATGTTTGATTTTTGGAAGACCTGGTTATGGGGTTGACCACAAAAACTTGATGAACTTATGGCAGACAATATTATCTAGAAAGATATCTAGATGTATCACCTCCCTGAGCTTTGGGATTTAAGTTTGAACTGGTTAACATCTTTTAGTAATAAGATTTCCTTAATGCCCGCATTTCTTTCCAGGAGTGTAACCTCAGTTTGCTTTACAAGAGAAGATAAAGTAGTATCTGGCTCTGATGATCGCAGTGTAAAGGTTAGTATTTGCTTGCTGTATTCTTTAAGTATTGCCTCCCTCAGAAATGGTTGAGGAAAACTTCAACTCCTTTCTAACTGAGCATACTCTAAGTTGATATTGAGTCCTGTTGCATTTACACTAAGTTGATGGTGTCCATCCATCTAGATCATTTTGCCTGATTTGTGTATTCTCTCATTTATTGTCTCCTTATTTCTGATAAAATCATATTAAAGAATATTTACCTACACCCTTTACGTATATCTGGCTTTTACATATTCACACTTAAAAAGCAAAGCTTTATATAAAAATTAGTCCCTTATATTGCTTGTGTGTACCCCCAAGTTTTGCTCAAATAATTTTAGAGCAGCCTGGATTATACTTCATTTTGTTCTGTTATCTATCTGCATTCTGTCTTTAAAATTAAAAGAATGTTTTTTTTTTATTTTGATCTTTAGTCATGATTAAATTCAAATTTATTTTCCCCACTAACATAAATTATTTAGGAAGATGATATTCATAGTAATTATTATCTGTTTTCTTTAGACACTTAGTTTCTATACAATAATTTGAATTCTGTATTGGTGTCAATCAAATTTCTTAATAAGATCCCTTTTTTTGATCTTGAACCATTTTTTCAATAGGTCATAGGTATCAGCAATTCCCTTGACAAGTTCCTATTAGCAAAGGATCCTTCTAGCAGTTTTTCCTTGTATTGCTTTTGCCTGTTCTTTTTCTGTTGTATTGTGTTTACCAGTTCAAAGTGCTGTACAGTATTGAAGTTTCTGAACTACTACTGACCTTTCACAGTTCATCCAAAGGAATTCACTAGAAGCCTTATCAGTACACTGGAAAGGCATACCTAGGAATGTGCATTGCTGGTATCCTAAGTTGGCATCTACTGAGGAATCAGTGGTTTGGAACTTTGCTGGTGGAAATATTGTAATAATAAGGTTCCATAGTAACAGGGTTACCTTTGCCAATTAGTAGGTAACATTTCAGCTGACTTGAAAAATCATAGTTAGCTTTTAATAAACTCCATCAGTCTCTTCAGATACCTTGTGTATCCCATAATCAAAATGTCTAAAAAATAGATAATTTCTAATTATAATTTTCATAGGTTTGGGATGTGAAGAACATGCGTTCTCCATTGGCAACAATTCGGCTTGACTCTCCAGTAAATCGCCTGGCTGTCTCGCCAACCAATGTCATTGCTATTCCCCATGATAACCGTCACGTGCGTCTGTATGATCTAACAGGAAATCGCCTCGCTAGATTACCACGAAGTAATAGACAGGTGAGACCAAACTATTTGTTGTGGACTATAGGCATTCTTAGGCCTTTAAGATTTAAGCTAAATTAACTGTGATGGAAATATGGAGTCTAATGAATTCCCAAAAGTTGTCCAGGATTATTTTCTAAAGCAATTTGTGACAGAATCATTTTGCTTGTCTTAGTTGTGGCAAGCAAGGAGGCCCATGTAGATAATCTGTCACAAAAGAGCTGTAAAATGTAGTTCTAAATTTTCCATTAATCACTGGAGAACTATTGCAGTTAAAAAAAGTAAGGACCTATTAATGGTAATTTTTATTTAGTTTCCTTTATGTAATGTGCAAAATTGTTTATGAATATTGAATAATGGGGTCGATTTTGTTTTTTGAGCTAAGAATAGACTACAATCTTAAAGGCTTAATTAAAACTTAATTCAAAGGTACATTCACTTATCTGACCTCCAGTGGGACCAGGGCATTTGAACAGGTACTTTGAAAAGTTGGATTATTTATTAATCAATTCCCAACTCTACCCTGACACAAACTGGATGAAAGACAAGTATAGGGTAGGTACTCAGGGGCACAGCTGGAAGTTAGACACAGATGATCCACATGGATGTTAAGAAGCATTTCTTCAGTCTCAGGGTGGTCAGGAAGTTGAATGTTCTCGATGAAGAAGGGGTGGAGGCAGACTCCACATGTAGTTTTCAGATTAGGAGGGACTGAATCTGGCAAATGGCATATTGAAAGGTGGAGTGAGGAGCTATGACTCAAACCCTACAACCATGTATAGGCAAGTACATATAGGTAATTACACATACTGGCACAAGCAGTTATGAAGACTCTAGATGAGGAAAGCAGGCCAGAAACAGAGTACTATCTAAAGAGGAGGGGAGGGGGACTCTTTCTTGTGTCCAGCTCACACACACACTGTGGTCTGGGGGGTCGATCCCTGGTATGGCTGGAAAACATTAGGACATATTTCCTTAAGATACCTGCTGTCCAGTGTTCACCTATCAGTAAAGTGGGTACATGGGTGTTAGTAGACTGGTGTGGGTTGCATCCTGTTACAAAATTGACTAGTTTGCCCGAATGCTCTGTGTAACAATGGGCTTTCTATAGAGTAGCATGTCATTGATGTCAGCTAGATCTGTATACATTGTACATGTACTTGTAGAAATAAAGATTATTATTATTATTATAACTTTACAATATGATAGAAAAAAAAGCCTTGAATAACCATTACCTCAAATCTGGCACTTATTCATATAAAGTACTTGCTTGTGCTTGGTGCTGTTGAACAGTTTATTATTATTTAAAAATACTGTGTTTTTCAGTAGTTAGAAATGTGATTTTCAATCATTAATGCAAACAATTTCCTGGTCAGTGTCATCGGCGCATGGTGTGCAGTGTGGCTTGGGGTGACGACTCGCTAGGAGCACGCTGCAATCTCTTCACAGCTGGTTTTGACCGCATTGTATATGGTTGGTCCATACACTCCTTTAAAGAAGGCAAGGACTGAATACTGAAAGTCCTTATAACTTAGAGGTTGCCTCTGTATTGGTTCATATTAGCTTACCTCTTGATACATTCTTCATCACCTTTATGCTGAGTTCACAGGGCTACACTGGCAGGCTTAATATGATCTTCAGGTAATTACCATAGGAGGTTTCATATGAGGGTAAGTCCTCTTGATACTTTTAATAAAGCTTTTGAATAATTATAATGTACTCTAATAGTTAGTGTGCTCTTAATATAACTGCATATGTCTGTGTTCAAGAGTTGCACAAGAATTATAAAAATGTGATCTCATAGAGTATATTAATTTCATTGTTCATGTTCATTTTGAACAGAACCCATTGTATTTTCTTTATCCGTATCACATTCATAAACTACAATATATTTATTGTACAGTACAGTATTTTTATTGTACAATATTTTTGTCTAGGTTTAAAGCTTGTTAAATATGTGCAAGTGTTAGGATCTAATAAAATTTGAAATGAACAATTAGGGCTATAAATTGCCTCTAAAGGCAATGTCATATTGTCACTCTCTCTACTATACTATAGTTAGAATATCAGTACTATGTTAGGCCAGTAGTACACTGTATATGAGTGCCCCAGAAGATCAGATGAAGTAGAAATGAATAATACTAATATATAATACTGGTCAACCCATCCTTATAATCACTGTCCTGAGAGTTGCATATTGACATATAATGATGACATTTATTGCTTGTTTTTGGCACCTTAGCATAACTATTGCAGATTTTTTGTTCAAATTGTAGTATTGTATTTTTTGAAGTTTTTAACATTTGTGGTGGAGTCTTGATCCTTCATCTCCTAATTGTGACTTAGTCTCTGATCTGTGTATTTAGGATTGCTACTTGAGACTTTTTTTTTTTTAACTTTCATTAATTGCTAACTTTGAGGACAGGCTGTACTGGCGCCAGGAGAAAATTACCCTTCTGTAAAGCATTAGGAAAGTTACTACAGAAAATATAGTCAAAATAAGCTTGAGTAATCTGAAGCCCAGCACAGTATCTACTGTGCAGTATTACCAAGATTATCTGTTGTACAAACTGTTATTTATTTTTATTTATTTCAATAGAAATGCTTTACTGGATTAAATTTTTTGCAAACCAGCCTCTCCCACAGAGTTTGGGTGACCTGAAAAAGAGTAACACTTTCACTGTCACTCTATCAATGTCTTGGCAGAAACATGCCAACATTACACCTTGGATGCTCCTCTGTCTTGCAATATCCCAACCCCTCCCTCATAGTGCAGGCATTGTACTTCCCATCTCCAGGACTAAAGTAGATATTAGTGCATTCAATTATGCTGAAGCTAGCAGTCATTTCTTCAACTCAAATCTCATAAGAAATTATGTTCATTATTTAAACTATCTAGAAGAGATGTTTTTGTTTTGCATTTAGCTAGGTGTATAGGAATTCATGTTTTGTGTGTGCATGTCATTCTCTATTTGAGTTTGGAGTCAGCCTTTACTGTTTCATGAGCTGACCCACTTCATGTATTTTCTGCTCTTTGTAAAACTGCTTTTTAATGTCTGTGGTTCATCTCAGCTTTACTTTGTATCCCTCCCTACTTGCCTGTACTCATTTATTTGTATTCACAGGGATTGATATCCCTATGCTCCATTGGCTTTCTCATTCAGCTTTAAACTCATGGATGGGGGTTATTATTCAATTAAGTTTTCCACCTCTAATTTTTTTCTCATTTCTTTTCAGTATACTATTTTGATTTTTAGCTTACATCAGTTTTTCCTTTTTTTGTCTTCACAACTTTAAAATAATATTTCTGTTAATCTTTTCAGTACTAATTCATTCCCTTGTATTTTGCCACCTTTTTATTTACCATCCCAGATTTACCATTTAGTATGATTCTTTCTTCTTTCAACACACCGGCAGTATCCCACCGAGGCGGGGTGGCCCAAAAGGAAAAACGAAAGTTTCTCCTTTTACATTTAGTAATATATACAGGAGAAGGGGTTACTAGCCCCTTGCTCCCGGCATTTTAGTCTCCTCTTACAACACGCATGGCTTACGGAGGAAGAATTCTGTTCCACTTCCCCTTGGAGGTAAGAGGAAATAAACAAGAATAGGAACTAGTAAGAAAATAGAAGAAAACCCAGTGGGGTGTGTGTATATATATGCTTGTACATGTATGTGTAGTGTGACCTAAGTGTAAGTAGAAGTAGCAAGATGTACCTGAAACCTTGCATGTTTATGAGACAGAAAAATAGACACCAGCAATCCTACCATCATGTAAAACAATTACAGGCTTTCGTTTTACACTCACTTGGCAGGACGGTAGTACCTCCCTGGGCGGTTGCTGTCTACCAACCTACTACCTAGGATCTATCTGTCTATATATATATATATATATATATATATATACACCTACCATCCGACTTACGACAGAGTTCGGTTCCGAGAAACTGGTCGTAAGTCAAAATGGTCGCAAGTCGAACTTTACTACTGAATATCAACAAAACATTTTTGTAATGACTTTATATTATTGTTTTATTTGGGTATTTCATGTTTTACTTTACTTTTTATGTTGTTAGTACTGTATTTTATACTGTAAGGTTTAGGATAAACACTGTGTACAACACAAATAGTTGTTTATTTCCCAGAAATTTGGCATAAAAAACACGGTCGTAAGTTGAGTGGTCGTAAGTCAAGCAGGTCGTAAGTCGGATGGTAGGTGTATTTTGACGTGCCGTAGGAGTGTAAGCAAGGTAACATTTATGAAGGGATTCAGTGAAACCGGCAGACCAGACTTGATGCCTGGAGATGGGATGTACAGTGCTGGCACTCTGAAGGAGGGGTGTTAATGTTGCAGTTTTATAACTGTAGTGTAAGCATGCCTCTGGCAAGACAGTGATGGAGTGAATGATAATGAAAGTTTTTCTTTTTCGGGCCACCCTGCCTTGGTGGGAAGCGGCTGATGTATTAATAATAATAATAAATATATATTTGCTTTTTTTTCACGTGTTATGCGTGAATGTGTGTATGCATGTGTGCGAGTTCGCATGTGATTACTGCTTTACAGTTACCCATGTCATAATTACTGCAGTTTGTAATATACTTTTTAAAGTTTTCATAGGTTTTAAAATTACTGTTTCTGTTTGAGTTTGCAAAGGATGAACTCCTGAGCTAAGGTCTTTCTCTTACCTTTGAATTTACTGAAGAGATTTAGTTATGTTTAATTTATTTTCAAAACTGCATTCCATCAGCCTGTTATGTAATTATGTACAGTATTTGTAATAATTTATGTTGTTAAAGGGGTAGACTTATATTAGTAGTGTCTCAATGCTTTTTTTATTTTAATTTATCATATTGTACTTATTTGGCAGTAGTTGTTGCATACTACCTTCTAGAGCACACTCCACTCCATATACATTTGCAAATAAATAATTTATCTTTTTACACTGTTTTTTTTTTTTTCATAATTTATGTCCTCTGGTCCTCACTGTTGTCAGTCCTCCCCAAATTTCATTTTCTTTCATCTTACATTTAAGGCAAATTAATGGTTTGAGTTATATCTTCATGCACACACATGCATGTGTATTGTGGTTATGATCCATACATTTTTTGTGTGGCTGTGTTATGTATGTGTGTGTGTGTGTGTGTGTGTGTTTTGTATTTGTGTAAATGTTTTGTAGGTGTGTTTTATCATTTTTTAGTATAGTATATGGCTTGTTTTAGGAAGAATATTGGTCAGCTACATTACAGTAAGAAAATACAGTAGATGCACCTTTCTTTCTTTAGCTATGTATATGTTAACTGGAGCTTCATATAGTAGTCTGCTACATATTTGCATAATTGGTAAAGTTACTGACTGTGTCAGGTAAATGGCATGAGCAGTTAATGAGACATTTGTTATGGCTATGTTTTGCTCTTCAAAAATTTCATCAAACTGTAATTGGTTTGATAAAGCTCATGACAGGTGAGATGTAGCTGTACTAAATCTTCTCATTAACTGCTTTAGTGTCCTTTTGCTTCAAAGTCTGCTGTTTACTCTTTTTTTTTGCCTTTACAGTGACTACTGTTTCTCTGTTTCTTATTTGCTTGTTTTTTCTACATTGTTTATCCATTGTTTATACCTCTTCTCATTCCATCTGAGGCTATTTTCAGTTATAAATTTTCTCGATCCTCACGTGGTGACTGCTTTATATAGCTAAACTAAATTTTAGAATTCCACAGATATTTAAAATTAAAAGTTGGATTAGTTGTCCTGTGGATTGATAGGCAATGTTCTCGCCTCACACACTGAGTGTCCTTGGTTCAATCCCTGGCCAGGTGGAAACATTGGAAGTGTTTCCTTACACCTGCTGTCCCTGTTCACCTAGCAGTAATTAAGTACAGTACCTGAGTGTTAGCCGACTTGTGTGGGGTCACATCCTAGAGAAGATTAAAGGACCCCAATGGAAATAAGCTGCAGTCCTCAAAAATTCACTGACTTTGATTATCCTGGATGACTAACCTTTCGAATTAAAAATCTGAACAAATCATATCTTAAAAGATGTAGATCAGCATTGCAGAGGGAAAAACTAAATTATTACTGTTTTCTTTTACTACATCAGATGTGTAATAATTTTTTTATTTGAAAATCTCTAAATGCATGGGGGTGTCATTCAACACTGCATATGAAAAGGCATGACTAATGAGAGTCGGCTAAAAAAAAATAAGGTAAGACTTGGTGGAGCATGGGTGTAAAAATAGAGAATAGAGAATATCCAAGCATGTTTAGTAGGTCACTTTCTATTAATAATTGATAAAGTAAACCATAACTGAGAAGATATGCACCTGACTTCAAGTATATCATAGTAGTATTACTAGAAATAGAGACATGGGTAGCAGATAATCATTTTAATAAGTTTTGCTAGGTTTAGTGCTTCATTTTTTATTGTAATAATGTTTCACCCAAAATTGCACTTTATCAGATATACAGGAATGAGCAAATACACGGATCTACAAGACAAATGAGCCTGATGAAGTCAGGCTTTTAGAAAGACAGGTCACAAATGAAGTCATACAACTGTAAGATTAGTAAAGATGAGGTGAGGTATTGGTGAGAGTAAGGGTGGGGTTAAGGTGACAAGTTTATGTATATTATACGAATTGTGGAAACTGTAGGCAATAGGTCCAGCCAGCTTGTACATTCCAGTTTTTCTCAGTGGTATTGATGAAGTGGATTATTGCTGCTTCCAAAATTTTGTATCTGAATGTGTCGTTCTCATGGTGTAACAGAAGTGCTCTTCCTCAGTCCATGATGTGACGAGTTACCTGTGTGTTGTTGGCCTTATCCCTCCTACAGAAATATTTTGGAAGCAGCGGTGATCCACCTCACCAATACCATTGAACAAAATAATGGAATGTACATGTTGCCTGGATCTATTGCCCATGATTCATAACAGTAATAAACATACTAAACTAACTTGTCACCTTGCCCCCACCCATTACACTCACCAGTACCTAACTTGATTTTGCGATTTCATAACCTCATATGTGACCTGTCTTTATGTGAAACTGACCTCTTTATGCCCATTTGTCTTGCAAGGCAAAGAAGTTTAGTTTTGTACACGATAAAAGTCCAGCCTTGGGCAAAACATATTAAATAGATTCTTTGCTATCATTGTCCTTATTTCCACTTGTCAGCTTTTGCTATTGTTTTGCAAATTTGTTAATAGCTTTGCAAAATTAGCCCCTCATGTTATTTTTCTCTGATAAAATTCCTAGACCAGGTCAAAGCATTATTACTGCCATTTGTACATAGTCACACCTCATTTCTCCATATTCTATATAACTAGAAACCCTAGTTTAACAAGTGAATTATATCACTTACTAAACTAGGGCTTGAGTAATATTTATGAAGGGATTCAGGAAAACTGGTTGGCCAGATTTGAGTCCTGAAGGTAGGAATACAGTGCTTTAACTCTGAAGGAGGGACGAGTATGTTGCTGATCGAAGGGACATCTGAACTGGGATGTCGGCACACATTTGGCAAGACAGCGATCCATTTCTTCAGGTCACCCTATCTCTGCAAGAGATGCTTGGTGTTTTAAAACAGAAGCTGTTAGTCCCAGCAATTCTGGATATATGGGTATACTATCTGTATTAATTTTTTTTTTTTTTTTCATTTATTTACAGAAAGTGCTAACCCCACCTTTTCTCATATTTAAATTTATTATTTATTTTCTAAAATACGTTTACCCTACAGAACTAATTTTAAAGCCATCCAGTGCCACTATACTAGCCTTTGTAATTGTAATGCAACAGATCATATCCATAGTTTAGTATCGTAAATAACTAAGAGATGTGCCATCTTATCTACCAAATCTTACCTTTCAGTGTTAAGTTTTATATTTGTCAGCAAGATGCACGGGTAACTTTAATCCTATTCACTATGTTTTAACACTCCCTCCTCCTTTGTCTGTCCTTTTAGTTTACATTGCTCACTTTTATGATTTATTTACACTACAGTTAACTGTAGTGTAAGCTCGCCTTTGGCAAGACAGTGATGGAGCGAATGGTGAAAATTTTTCTTTTTTGGGCCACCCCACCTAGATGGGAAATGGCCTGTGTTAATAATAGAAAATAAAATTAACAGTACCCTAATTTCATGCATTTTTAAAGCAAAATTGTATTTAAAATGATACCATTTTTCCTGTCTCATTAACAGCTAATTCCATAAATAGTACTTAAATATACTGTACTGTGCCTAAATATATTATTGAATAAACTCGTATTAAACCATAACTAGGTACAGTATATACTCGGTGTTATTTACACTTTGTACATGCATTTTTAATATTAAAAATATTTCCTTATGCCATCCATTTTTGATGCATTCTGATATTGCCCAGATTATAACAATCTTTTTATACTAATTAATATAAAAAAAAATCAATATTAGCTCCAAATACACATGTCCATCCATCCATATTTCCTCCATGTTCTTCCTGTCAACAACAGAATTGTAAAGTGCAATTTAACCAGTATTACTGGAGCCAATGTACCATATTTAATTCATTAAATTTTGTAAATTACTGTAATAACTTTTAAGCTTCAGCTGCTACATCATACAAGTCCAAGAAAGATGTTATATTGTACTGTAATTTGATATTTAATTTGTGAGTGTTTGTCTTCCCAGTATTATTATATTTAGGGGGAAGCACTAAACCTATAAGGATCTTACAGTGCCTGGGGAATAGTAGGCAATCAAGTTTGATCCAAGGAAGTGGAAGACAAGTCTAATTCCTTGGATCAACAGTCAACCAGCATCAAGAAACCTCCCTTGAGGGAATATCTTTCCAGTAAAATGTATGTATGTATTGCATATTGAGGTTTTTCATTTGGTTCAGTGCACTGGGTAATCTTAACTTGTGTATACCTGGTTTAGTAAATATATCCCAAGTTTAACAAGCATGTCAAATATGTATTTCATAATATACAATGTAAAAATTTTAAGCTTTAGTTCTCATAGTAAATAGAGAAGAAAAGTACTGGTATGTATAAAAGTGAGAAGTCAAATTAACATACAGAACTGTATGTTGTATCGAGTCTCCATAAAATAGAAATTTAAGTTTCTGGTACAAATAATGACAGTTAAAAATATGTAAAGTGGGATACTCCTGTTAATTCCCTGATAATCATATCTATTCTGCCATACTTTGTTGTTGGCCTTACAGAAAAATACTTGAATTAATAAAGCTTGGAATGTTTGAATAAATACAATAAATGATGGTTAGTGAGCTTGTACACTATTACAAGTGTGTGTGTTGTGTTTACTCACCTATATGTGGTTGCAGGGGTCAAGTCATAGCTCCTGGCCCCACTTCTTCACTGGTTGCTACTAGGTTCACTCCTGGCTCCAAGAGCCTTATCATACCTCTTCTTAAAGCTATGTATGGATTCCACCTCTACTACACTCTCGGGTAGAGCATGCATGTGTGTGTTTGTGGTTGCAGGGGTCCAGTCACAGCTCTTGGCCCCTTGTGTGTGAGCATGGGTATGTGTAAGCATGTGTGTGAGTGCATGAGTATTGTTTTTGCAGAGGTTGAGTCACAGCTGTGTGAATGGAGAGAGTGTGAGCAAGTGAGTGAGAGTATGTGAGTGAGTCTGTAAATTATCTCAAAAGTATTAATTACTGTTGACATTTAAGGATACTACATTTTTTCATAGGATAAGGTAAATGGAATTTGTGATTGCCATATGTACTAATATAATCATTCCTTAATCCTATACTATGGATTATGTAAATAATTGTACAGATAATTCAGTAACAGTTTTGAATGGGCTCGAGAGTAATGTTTGGCATTTAGCTCGCATTCTGTACATTGTAGTTGCAGCAATATTTTCTCCAAGCTTTATCATCTAGTGTAAGGTCTATCTAGTCAGAAGCATTTTGTGCTCTGAACCAAAGTATTCACACATGTTTTATATCAGGGTAATGTCTGTCACTTGAATGCAAGATTGAGCCCAGCTCTGAACCAAATTATATTTTTGTTTTGAATTAAAATTATATTTTAGAATATAACCTTGGGTAGTAATTTTGTGTTTTTGCCAAAGATTACATTGTGTTCTGAAGCAGTACAGTAACATTAACAAGAGTTTAATATTATAATGAGAACATAGTAAATGTCTGTACTTACATCTCAGCTGTTTTTCTATCCTTAACCCTTTGACTGTCGCAACCCCAAATCCTGAGGTGTCTCCTGGTGTCGAAAAATTTTTGAAAAAAAAAAAAATAAAAAAAATTATGAAATAATAGAGAATCTTTTCCCAATGGTAATGACACCAAAAGAACAAAATTTGATAGAAAACTTGCAGAATTACGCTCTTGCAAAGTTAGCGACCTTCGCGATATTTACGAATCGGAGATTTTGCCCACTTTGAGCCCTATTTCCGGCTAATTTCATTGTTCCAGTGGACCAAACATAGCTATTTCTTTAGAATTCCATTTGTTCTATTGATTGAGTACAAGAAACTGCCCATTTACCAATTTCAACTACCCAATAATGTGGTCAGAACTTTGCAATTTGACCAATTTCATGCAAATTAAAAAATATGCCAATTTCAAAATAGGGTCCAGAATGAACAATGCAGACATTCCTGGCTCTAAATTAACATTTTCTTTGTTCATCAATCATGTCTCCAGGCCCCTCTGATATTACTCTTACTTTCTATTTTGAATTTTTATTCAAACAAAAAATAGAAGATTTAGTGTTACGCAGACTACTGCAATATTGTAATATTTGTATAAATCATGTCAACCCATTCACGACTGCATATTAGAATGGCTAGCTAGACATTTACTGGACAATGACATCATTTGATTACTTTTGAACATCGGCAAAAATCAAACATTTCCCCTACTTTGAGCTCCATTTCAAGGTTCTTTTCATAGTAAAACCAATGAAAATCACCTCTATTTATAAAATATGTTTTCCATTCTATCCAATGAGATCAAGAAAACGAGAATACAACCATAAATATTATACGAAAATATACCACAAAGTCGGCATTTTAATCCAATGACACGGTCGGAGTTTTTTTTTCTCGTTGTGCACTGCGTGCTGCAGGATTTTTTTTATATGGTGCACACTGACCACACACATCCATTCTCTCACATGTGGGCCTACCAGCTTTCTCCTGCTTGATTTGAAACCTCTAGAATTTTTGAGTATGTGTACGTCAAACACGGTGGCTCGTAAGACGTATATATACGACCGAAACAGTCAAAGGGTTAACAGTCCAAAATAATCTTACCAGCAGGAAAATATTAACACTTCTCTTTCACATGCACAAGACAATGATAGTGTGGTACCTCCAAGAGTGATGGTATCGACTGACTTGTATGGCACAAATGAACTTGTATGGATAAAATAACAAGATAAGAGACTGCATATTATGACCTATCAGCAAGGCCCTTTTCAGCAAACTACAGTGTATATAAGATAGTTTTTATTTTATAAAGGTCATGTGGCTTAAGACAATATGACTTGGCTTAGATTCATATTTGCTATTCATTTTCTTTCTCGAAATTCCCACCAAATGCCATTCTTAGATACTGCAAGTAGAGGTGTTCATCAAGGCTGGTCATTATGATGAGATTTGGTGTTCTACCCATTAGCTCTCTATGGTCAATTGCCATCTGGCCACGCGTCAGATTACCCTGTAATAAAAAATTTTTTGTCATAAACTAACTTGCATAAGTTTATAACATGTATATAAAATATATATATATATTTTTTTTTTTTTCAACAAGTTGGTCGTCTCCCACCGAGGCAGGGTGACCCAAAAAAGAAAGAAAATCCCCAAAAAGAAAATACTTTCATCATCATTCAACACTTTCACCACACTCACACATTATCACTGCTTTTGCAGAGGTGCTCAGAATACAACAGTTTAGAAGCATATACGTATAAAGATACACAACATATCCCTCCAAACTGCCAATATCCCAAACCCCTCCTTTAAAGTGCAGGCATTGTACTTCCCATTTCCAGGACTCAAGTCCGACTATAAGAAAATAACCGGTTTCCCTGAATCCCTTCACTAAATATTACCCTGCTCACACTCCAACAGATCGTCAGGTCCCAAGTATCATTCGTCTCCATTCACTCCTATCTAACACGCTCGTGCACGCTTGCTGGAAGTCCAAGCCCCTCGCCCACAAAACCTCCTTTACTCCCTCTTTCCAACCCTTTCGAGGACGACCCCTACCCCTCTTTCCTTCCCCTATAGATTTATATGCTTTCCATGTCATTCTACTTTGATCCATTCTCTCTAAATGACCAAACCACCTCAACAACCCCTCTTCTGCCCTCTGACTAATGCTTTTATTAACTCCACACCTTCTCCTAATTTCCACACTCCGAATTTTCTGCATAATATTTACACCACACATTGCCCTTAGACAGGACATCTCCACTGCCTCCAACCGTCTCCTCGCTGCTGCATTTACCACCCAAGCTTCACATCCATATAAGAGTGTTGGTACTACTATACTTTCATACATTCCCTTCTTTGCCTCCATAGATAACGTTTTTTGACTCCACATATACCTCAACGCACCACTCACCTTTTTTCCCTCATCAATTCTATGATTAACCTCATCCTTCATAAATCCATCCGCCGACACGTCAACTCCCAAGTATCTGAAAACATTCACTTCCTCCATATATATATATATATATATATATATATATATATATATATATATATATATATATATATATATATATATATATATATATACACACACAAGTTTTTTTTTAACACGTCTGTCATCTCCCACCGAGGCAGGGTGACCCAAAAACAAAGAAAATCCCCAAAAAGAAAATACTTTCATCATTCAACACTTTCACCTCACTCATACATAATCACTGTCTTTGCAAAGGCGCTCAGATACGACAGTTTAGAAGTCTCCAAACTGCCAATATCCCAAACCTCTCCTTTAAAGTGCAGGCACTGTACTTTCCTTTTCCAGGACTCGAGTCCGGCTAACCGGTTTCCCTGAATCCCTTCACAATATATTACCCTGCTCACACTCCAACAGCTCGTCAGGTCCCAAAAACCATTCGCCCCCATTTACTCCTGACACACACATGCTTGCTGGAAGTCCAAGCCCCTTGCCCACAAAAACCTCCTTTACCCCCTCCCTCTAACCTTTTCGAGGACAGCCCCTACCTCTCCTTCCTTCCCCTACATATTTATATGCTCTCCAAATCATTCTACTTTGATCCATTCTCTCTAAATGACCAAACTACCTCAACAACTCCTCTTCAGCCCTCTGATTAACACTTTTAGTACCTCCACACCTCCTAATTTCCACACTCCAAATTCTCTGCATAATATTTAAACCACAGGACATATCCACTGCCTCCAGCTGACTCCTCGCTGAAGCATTTGCAACCCAAGCTTCATACCCATATAAGAGTGTTGGTACCATATACTTTCGTACATTCCCTTCTTTGCCTCCATGGATAACGTTTTTTGTCTCCAAAGATACCTCAATGCACCACTCACCTTTTTTTCTTCATCTTTTCTTGGAGTGAGATAAACAAGTTAAGAAAGCCTAGAGAGCGAATGGATTTGTCAGTTAAAAACAGAGTAGGGGAGTTAGTAGATAGGGAGCTGGAGGTACTGGGTAGATGGTGGGAATATTTTGAGGAACTTTTAAATGTTGATGAAGAAAGGGAGGTGGTAATTTCATGCACTGGTCAAGGAGGTATAACATCTTTTAGGAGTGAAGAAGAGCAGGACGTAAGTGTGGGGGAGGTGTGTGAGGCATTACGTAGAATGAAAAGGGGTAAAGCAGCTGGAACTGATGGGATCATGACAGAAATGTTAAAGCAGGGGGGAGAGAAATAGTGTTGGGGTGGTTGGTATTTTTGTTTAATATATGTATGAATTATGTGGATTAAAGTAAAGGTTGGATGCGAGAAGTGGGTCATAATAAGCGTGTATGCACCTGGAGAAGAGAGGAATGCAGAGGAGAGAGAGAGATTTTGGGAGATGTTAAGTGAATGTATAGGAGCCTTTGAACCAAGTGAGAGAGTAATTGTGGTAGGGGACTTGAATGCTAAAGTAGGAGAAACTTTTAGAGAGGGTGTGGTAGGTAAGTTTGGGGTGCCAGGTGTAAATGATAATGGGAGCCCTTTGATTGAACTTTGTATAGAAAGGGGTTTAGTTATAGGTAATACATATTTTAAGAAAAAGAGGATAAATAAGTATACACGATATGATGTAGGGCGAAATGACAGTAGTTTGTTGGATTATGTATTGGTAGATAAAAGACTGTTGAGTAGACTTCAGGATGTACATGTTTATAGAGGGGCCACAGATATATCAGATCACTTTCTAGTTGTAGCTACACTGAGAGTAAAAGGTAGATGGGATACAAGGAGAATAGAAGCATCAGGGAAGAGAGAGGTGAAGGTTTATAAACTAAAAGAGGAGGCAGTTAGGGTAAGATATAAACAGCTATTGGAGGATAGATGGGCTAATGAGAGCATAGGCAATGGGGTCGAAGAGGTATGGGGTAGGTTTAAAAATGTAGTGTTAGAGTGTTCAGCAGAAGTTTGTGGTTACAGGAAAGTGGGTGCAGGAGGGAAGAGGAGCGATTGGTGGAATGATGATGTAAAGAGAGTAGTAAGGGAGAAAAAGTTAGCATATGAGAAGTTTTTACAAAGTAGAAGTGATGCAAGGAGGGAAGAGTATATGGAGAAAAAGAGAGAGGTTAAGAGAGTGGTGAAGCAATGTAAAAAGAGAGCAAATGAGAGAGTGGGTGAGATGTTATCAACAAATTTTGTTGAAAATAAGAAAAAGTTTTGGAGTGAGATTAACAAGTTAAGAAAGCCTAGAGAACAAATGGATTTGTCAGTTAAAAATAGGAGAGGAGAGTTATTAAATGGAGAGTTAGAGGTATTGGGAAGATGGAAGGAATATTTTGAGGAATTGTTAAATGTTGATGAAGATAGGGAAGCTGTGATTTCGTGTATAGGGCAAGGAGGAATAACATCTTGTAGGAGTGAGGAAGAGCCAGTTGTGAGTGTGGGGGAAGTTCGTGAGGCAGTAGGTAAAATGAAAGGGGGTAAGGCAGCCGGGATTGATGGGATAAAGATAGAAATGTTAAAAGCAGGTGGGGATATAGTTTTGGAGTGGTTGGTGCAATTGTTTAATAAATGTATGGAAGAGGGTAAGGTACCTAGGGATTGGCAGAGAGCATGCATAGTTCCTTTGTATAAAGGCAAAGGGGATAAAAGAGAGTGCAAAAATTATAGGGGGATAAGTCTGTTGAGTGTACCTGGTAAAGTGTATGGTAGAGTTATAATTGAAAGAATTAAGAGTAAGACGGAGAATAGGATAGCAGATGAACAAGGAGGCTTTAGGAAAGGTAGGGGGTGTGTGGGACCAGGTGTTTACAGTGAAACATATAAGTGAACAGTATTTAGATAAGGCTAAAGAGGTCTTTGTGGCATTTATGGATTTGGAAAAGGCGTATGACAGGGTGGATAGGGGGCAATGTGGCAGATGTTGCAAGTGTATGGTGTAGGAGGTAGGTTACTGAAAGCAGTGAAGAGTTTTTACGAGGATAGTGAGGCTCAAGTTAGAGTATGTAGGAAAGAGGGAAATTTTTTCCCAGTAAAAGTAGGCCTTAGACAAGGATGTGTGATGTCACCGTGGTTGTTTAATATATTTATAGATGGGGTTGTAAGAGAAGTAAATGCGAGGGTCTTGGCAAGAGGCGTGGAGTTAAAAGATAAAGAATCACACACAAAGTGGGAGTTGTCACAGCTGCTCTTTGCTGATGACACTGTGCTCTTGGGAGATTCTGAAGAGAAGTTGCAGAGATTGGTGGATGAATTTGGTAGGTGTGCAAAAGAAGAAAATTAAAGGTGAATACAGGAAAGAGTAAGGTTATGAGGATAACAAAAAGATTAGGTGATGAAAGATTGAATATCAGATTGGAGGGAGAGAGTATGGAGGAGGTGAACGTATTCAGATATTTGGGAGTGGACGTGTCAGCGGATGGGTCTATGAAAGATGAGGTGAATCATAGAATTGATGAGGGAAAAAGAGTGAGTGGTGCACTTAGGAGTCTGTGGAGACAAAGAACTTTGTCCTTGGAGGCAAAGAGGGGAATGTATGAGAGTATAGTTTTACCAACGCTCTTATATGGGTGTGAAGCGTGGGTGATGAATGTTGCAGCGAGGAGAAGGCTGGAGGCAGTGGAGATGTCATGTCTGAGGGCAATGTGTGGTGTGAATATAATGCAGAGAATTCGTAGTTTGGAAGTTAGGAGGAGGTGCGGGATTACCAAAACTGTTGTCCAGAGGGCTGAGGAAGGGTTGTTGAGGTGGTTCGGACATGTAGAGAGAATGGAGCGAAACAGAATGACTTCAAGAGTGTATCAGTCTGTAGTGGAAGGAAGGCGGGGTAGGGGTCGGCCTAGGAAGGGTTGGAGGGAGGGGGTAAAGGAGGTTTTGTGTGCGAGGGGCTTGGACTTCCAGCAGGCATGCTTGAGCGTGTTTGATAGGAGTGAATGGAGACAAATGGTTTTTAATACTTGACGTGCTGTTGGAGTGTGAGCAAAGTAACATTTATGAAGGGATTCAGGGAAACCGGCAGGCCGGACTTGAGTCCTGGAGATGGGAAGTACAGTGCCTGCACTCTGAAGGAGGGGTGTTAATGTTGCAGTTTAAAAACTGTAGTGTAAAGCACCCTTCTGGCAAGACAGTGATGGAGTGAATGATGGTGAAAGTTTTTCTTTTTCGGGCCACCCTGCCTTGGTGGGAATCGGCCGGTGTGATAATAAAATAAAAAAAATATGTATGAAAGAGGGAAGGTACCTAGGGATTAGCAGAGGGCTTGTACAGTTTCTTTATATAAAGGGAAGGGGGACAAAAGAGATTGTAAAAATTATAGAGGAATAAGTTTAATGAGTATACCAGGAAAAGAATACAGTAGGGTTATTACTGAAAGAATTAGAGGTAAGACAGAGAGTAGGATTTCAGATGAGCAAGGAGGCTTTAGAGAGGGTAGGGGATGTGTAGATCAAGTGTTCACATTGAAGCATATATGTGAACAGTATTTAGATAAAGGTAGGGAAGTTTTCATTGCATTTTTGGATTTAGAAAAGGCATATGATAGAGTGGATAGGGGAGCAATGTAGCAGATGTTGCAAGTACATGGAATAGGTAGTAAGTTACTAAATGCTGTAAGAGTTTTTATGAGGGTAGCGAGGCTCAGGTTAGGGTGTGTAGAAGAGAGGGAGATTACCTCCCAGTAAAAGTAGGTCTTAGACAGGGATGTGTAATGTCACCATGGTTGTTTAATATATTTATAGATGGGATTATAAAAGAAATAAGTGTTAGGGTGTTGGGGAGAGAGGTGGGATTAAATTATGGGGAATCAAATACAAAATGGGAGTTGACAGAGTTACTTTTTGCTGATGATACTGTGCTTATGGGAGATTCTAAAGAAAAGTTGCAAAGGTTAGTGGACAAGTTTGGGAGGGTGTGTAAAGGTAGAAAGTTGAAAGTGAACATAGATAAGAGTAAGGTGATGAACGTGATTTTTATTTTATTATTATCACACTGGCCAATTCCCACCAAGGCAGGGTGACCCGAAAATGAAAAACTTTCACCATCATTCACTCCATCACTGTCTTGCCAGAAGGGTGCTTTACACTACAGTTTAAACTGCAACATTAACACCTCTCCTTCAGAGTGCAGGCACTGTACTTCCCATCTCCAGGACTCAAGTCCGGCCTGCCGGTTTCCCTGAACCCCTTCATAAATGTTACTTTGCTGACACTCCAACAACACGTCAAGTATTAAAAACCATTTGTCTCCATTCACTCCTATCAAACACGCTCACGCATGCCTGCTGGATGTCCAAGCCCCTCGCACACAAAACCTCCTTTACCCCCTCCCTCCAACCTTTCCTAGGCCGACCCCTACCCCGCCTTCCTTCCACTACAGACTGATACACTCTTGAAGTCACTCTGTTTCGCTCCATTCTCTCTACATGTCCGAACCACCTCAACAACCCTTCCTCAGCCCTCTGGACAACAGTTTTGGTAATCCCGCACCTCCTCCTAACTTCCAAACTACGAATTCTCTGCATTATATTCACACCACACATTGCCCTCAGACATGACATCTCCACTGCCCCCAGCCTTCACACCCATATAAGAGCGTTGGTAAAACTATACTCTCATACATTCCCCTCTTTGCCTCCAAGGACAAAGTTCTTTGTCTCCACAGACTCCTAAGTGCACCACTCACCCTTTTCCCCTCATCAATTCTATGATTCACCTCATCTTTCATAGACCCATCCGCTGACACGTCCACTCCCAAATATCTGAATACATTCACCTCCTCCATACTCTCTCCCTCCAATCTGATCTCCAATCTTTCATCACCTAATCTTTTTGTTATCCTCATAACCTTATTCTTTCCTGTATTCACTTTTAATTTTCTTCTTTTGCACACCCTACCAAATTCATCCACCAATCTCTGCAACTTCTCTTCAGAATCTCCCAAGAGCACCGTGTCATCAGCAAAGAGCAACTGTGATAACTCCCACTTTATGTGTGATTCTTTATCTTTTAACTCCACGCCTCTTGCCAAGACCCTCGCATTTACTTCTCTTACAACCCCATCTATAAATATATTAAACAACCACGGTGACATCACACATCCTTGTCTAAGGCCTACTTTGAGGGTATCAAATGATTTAGATAAAGAAGAATTGGATATCACATTGGAAAGAGGGAGTGTGGAAGAAGTGAATGTTGTCAGATATTTGAGTTGATGTGTCAACGGATGGGTTTATAAAGGATGAGGTTAACCATAGAATTGATGAAGGAAAACAGGCGAGTGGTGCGTTGAGGTATATGTAGAGACAAAAAACGTTATCTATGGAGGCAAAGAAGGGAATGTATGAAAGGATAGTGGTACCAACTTTCTCATATGGGTGTGAAGCCTGGGTTGTAAATGCTGCAGCAAGGCGGAGGTTGGAGGCACTGTAGATGTCCTGTCTAGGTGCAATGTGTGGTGTAAGTATTATGCAGAAAATTCGGAGTGTGGAAATTAGGAGAAGGTGTGGAGTTAATAAAAGTATTAGTCAGAGGGCAGAAGAGGGGTTGTTGAGGTGATTTGGTCATTTGGAGAGAATGGATCAAAGTAGAATGACATGGAAAGCGTTTAAATCTGTTGGGGAAGGAAGGCGGGGTGGGGGTCTTCCTTGAAAAGGTTGGAGGCAGGGGGTAAAGGAGGTTTTGTGGGCAAGGGGCTTGGACTTCCAGGAAGCGTGCATGAGTGTGTTAGATAGGAATGAATGGAGACGAATGGATTTTGGGACCTGATGAGCTGTTGGAGTGTGAGCAGGGTAATATTTAGTGAAGGGATTCAGGGAAACCGGTTATTTTTATATAGCCAGACTTGAGTACTGGAAATGGGAAGTACAATGCCTGCACTTTAAAGGAGGGGTTTGGGATATTGACAGTTTAAAGGGATATGTTATATATCTTTATAGTATATGCTTCTAAACTGTTGTATCAGGGCACCTCTAAAAAGACAGTGATTATGTATGAGTGAGGTGAAAGTGTTGAATGATGATGAAAGCATTTTCTTTTTGTTTTTTTGTTTTTTCTTTTTGGGTCACCCTGCCTCGGTGGGAGATGGCCGACTTGTTGAAAAAAAAAAAAAATCTGCTTGTCTTCTTACATTGAGCTCAACAGTGGCAAAGCAACTACTGGTAGAGCTGACAAGGCGGCTTCCATCACTCGTTTTATCACCAACGTCTGAATCTGAAAAATATTGCATTGCTCATAGTGACTGCTTATATTTTCTTTTATTTAATTATAGGATGAGTATGGATAAAGTATTGTAATATATTTTAATGATCAGCATATAAGAAGTATTTTTTTTTTTAACTTGCTGGCCATATCCCACTGAAGCAGAGTGACCCGAAAAAGAAACACTTTCACCATCATTCACACATAGTCATCATCTTTGGAGAGGTGCCAAGATATGAGAGTTTACATGTCACTCCAAACAGCTAATATCCCAAACCCCCTCCTTTTAAGTGCAGTCATTGTACTTCCCACTTCCAGGACTCAAGTACAGATCTAAGATCATACACTTTATGATAATATTAAAAATATGATGTTGCAGTCAGGGGGTAATCTGAATTGTGATGTCAATGCATTTCTGACAAGATGATGACTGAGTGAATGGTGGTGAACGTGTTTTCTTCTCTTGGTAATGCTGCCTTGGTGGAAAATGGCAGTTGAGGTTAAAAAAAAAAAAAACTGAAGATATAATGTAGTGGAAATGGAAAACCTATTTGGAGACCAATGAAAAGAAATAAAGAGATTAGTGTATATTATGAACTCTGATACTCAGTTCAGCAGGTGGATCTATTTACCTAGAGGGTGTTCTCCATTTCCAGTGCTTTCCCCATAATGATATGGTGGTGATGATGATGAAAATAATAACATATAACTTATAAGTGAAGTGCATTTATGGCTAGTTGATACTGAAATGTAACTAATGATACTATGTATTATCATCAGGTTAATAGTATGCATAGCATCTTTTCTTACCTATTTTACAATTTGTATTTAAATGCTGTGTTTTTGCACTATCAATCAGCCAAGCTACTGCAAGTTGGTCACAGGTGATCCAGTTTGCAAACTCTTTGGTTTTGATAATATTACTCTCAATTTTGTTCATTAATTCAGCAGCAGGACTCTTCATCTGGCCCATCTTTTCTCGTTGTGACTGCAAGTACAGTAATTTTGTTTAATAAATTCTATTACAGCATGCTTTTTATTTTTCATTTTTTAATTATAACTGGTTTATACTATGTAAATTGACAATTTTACAGCAGCAAGTTTTTGGCACAACTTGGTTAATGCTTAACCCTCTTACTGTACATCATGTAGATCTGTCACTGATGCCAGGGGTCCTTCATGTTGATCTACATTTTGTGCTCAACTCCTTCAGATAAACTGTGAGCAGTAACAAATTTTGGCCTAGACATGAAAGAATGGGTCTGTGTGGTAAGTATACACAGTATAAAAGAATCCTGCCCCATACAGTGTATAATTGGAAAAGCAAAACTGATTTTTTGTTTGGTTTAAAATAGCAACTCTGAGGTATTTTCTAGGATGGTGTTTATGGTTCTACTGGTATCATTTGATAGAATGGAAGAAATACTACAGAAATAGTGAAGATTTTGGTTAGTTTCAGGACTGGAAGTAGCTGGAAATTGAATTAAAAGTACCGGTAATATTAAATTTTTGCTGATTTTTCCTGAGGACAAGAAAGGCACCCCTATACCCCCAGTCTGTTTTATGGAGTTTACTAGATCTAATTCAATTATTAAGACACTGTAAACCACGATGAATTGTTGTGAGTTACCATATTTTATTATCATCTAAGAAATAGGAAAATCTTTAATTTTTTGTGATGATGAATTAATAATGAAATACAAATGTAATACAGGAGAGGCCTGGGGATATGAGTAATGAACAGGGAAATGTTGTTTTAGTGCCTGGAATATTTACAGTGTTTATTTTGGACTCTGTTTTTAAATTGCAATGTTTTGAATTTTGTGTAAAACTGGCCAAATTACTGCCTTCTGTGCATTTTATAGGATAGATGAATGGGAGGTTTCTTGTACTCAATCAATAGTCCAGAAGGCATACTAGCAAAATTGCTAATTATTATTATTATAATCAAAAAGAAGAGCTAAACTTCCAAAATCACTAAGAACTTGATCAAACTGATCAATGGAGTTGGCTTAAAGTAGGACTTCAAGTGAGAGAGAAACTGCTGATGCCTAAATTGCACCCACAGCACTAACTTTGAGCCTGTATAATTTTGTAAGTTTTCCATCAAATTTCATACTTTTGGTGGCTTTGCCTTCAGAAAAGATTTTGTATTTTTACATGTAGACACAGAGCAATTTTAATTTTGGAAGTTCTGGCAGTAAAGGGGTTAAGGTTTTTGTGCACCAATACAGTCATCTGATGTCGTGATTACGTCCACAATAACCCAATGGAGAAAGCATCTAACTACCATGGGTCAAATATACAGTCATTTATCATGCAAAAATAATGAAATAGCATTAATGATGAGAAAAGTATGACAAAGTTTCTGATTTTTTTTAATTCCCTCATTTAGAATTACAAAATAAATAAATAGTAATTTATCGTTTCTCCCTAATCAGTATCCCACCTATTACATACAATACTTACATAAACTATAATGCCTGTACCCACTTATTACCCTCACTTGCATTCAAGTAATTAATGTGTGTGTGTACTCACCTATTTGTGGTTGTAGGAGTAGATTCTCAGATCAAGGTCCTAACTTTTCACTCTTCAGATTCACTCCCTCTTAGCCTCATGAATTATATCATACCTGCCTTTACCCCTTTCAGAGTCAAGAAGCCCTCCTAAACTTGTTCTCGGGGTCGAAAATTTTTTGGAAAAAAATAATTTTTTTCTTGTGAAATGATAGAGAATCTTTTCCCGATCATAATGACGCCAAAAGTATGAAATTTGATGGAAAACTTACGGAATTATGCTCTCGTGAAGTTAGCGGTCTCGATGATGTTTACGCAACGGCGATTTCGCCCACTTTGAGCCCTATTTTTGGCCAATTCCAGTGTACTAGTTGACAAAAATCATATCTATTTCACTAGAACTATATTTTCTATAGAATGAGTACAAGAAACCACCCATTTACTGATTTCAACTATCCAATAAAGTGGTCAGAAATTGGCAATTTTGTAAATTTCACACAAATTTCAGAAGATGCCAATTTCCAAATAGGGTCCAGAATAAACAAGACAGACATTCCTGGCGCTAAAATAACATTTTCTCTGTTCATTAGTCATGTCCCCAGGCCTCTCTTACATCTCTTTTGCTTTCCACTTTGAATTTTTTTTCTCACAAAAAATAGAAGATTTACTGTTATGCAGACTACTGCATTAGTGTATAAATGGTGTAGAAATGGTATAAATAATATCAGCGCACTTGTGAAAGAATATTAGACTCACCAGTTGACGTGTATTGGATGCTTGGCATGATTTGTTTACTTTTGAACTTTGGTAAAAATCAAACATTTCTGCTACTCTGAGCTCAATTTCAAGGTACTTTTCATTATGAAACCAATCAAAATCATCTCAATTTCTGTAATATGTCTCCCATTCTATAAAATGAGACCAGGAAAACTAAAATACAACCATAAATACCATACGAAAATACACTGCAAAGTCACTGTTTTAAACCAAAAACACGGTTGGAGTTCTTTTTTTCTCATTTTGCACTGTGTGCCGCAGGATTTTTTTTATACTGTGTACACTGACCACATAGACCCATTCTTTCATATGAAGGCCTACCAGCTTTCTCTCACTAGATTTGAAGGCGCTAGAAATCAGGCATACTAGTACGTCAATGACGCTGGTGCGTTAAGCCGTACTAGTACATCAGAAACCCTGAAAGGGTTAAAATTATGCATAGAGCCTGCCCCCACCAGTACCTGACTACTCTGAGATTGAAGAAATACTTCCTAATCTCCCTGTGGTTCATCTCTGACTTATCCCACATCTGTTAGGTATAGAGCTCCAACAAATTAACAAGAGAAGATCTACCATCCCTAAATCCATATGGGTTATTGTTCAAGACACTGCTTCTCTCTAAGTGTTCCACTACACTCCCCCTGATAAGTTTCTCCATTATCTTGCAAGATATGCATGCATGTGTACTCACTTGTGTGTGGGTGTACTCACCTATATGTAATTGTAGGGGTTGAGTCATAGCTCCTGGCCCCGCCTCTTCACTGGTCGAAACTCACTCTTTCCCTGCCGCCTCTTTGCTGGTCATTACTAGGTCCACTATCTCCCTGCTCCATGAGCTTTATCAAACCTCTTCTTAAAGCTATAACCTTTTCTTAAAACTGTGCATGTGTGTGTGTGTGTATGTGTAAAAAATACATGCTGTTAAGTTTGCTTACATATGGTATTTTTACACCATTTAAGCACATTTCCCAGGGTGTGAGATGGATGGGTATGAGAGTTTCATCGAGTACCACCCTGGCTGCCTCTGGGTCACACATGAAGTTAAACTCTGCAGATGATGTGATATTACCTAAACCTAGTGAAAATACAAAAGTTTTAGTTTTTCTAATAACTACAGTATGGTAAGAGGTATTATATTTACTGATTTGTATTCTTGTCTATGTCAGAACTGAAATGCAAAGAGAGAATTGGGGAAAGTACTATAGCTTAAGGAACAGATGTTGTCACTGGGTCTCTTGATTTTACTTTTAGCATCATTATTTACTAGATCTGATTTGTTAAAAAAAAAAATCCATCTTCTAACTTGACCAGTTATTTTTGTTGTACACAATTTATATGGTAGTACACCATGATTAAACATGTTGAAGATTTTGACAATGTCTGTTTACATTATGCAGGCATTTTAATTTTTATAAAATGTCCAAAACCATATACAGCAGTACACTATTTTGCTCATCCTTTAAGGTGCTGCTTTGATGCTGGAAAAAGGTTTTTGATCCAAGGAATTGGTATTAATCCCCTCTTCCTTGGATGAAACCTGATTCCCTCCCATTCCCAAAACCCTGTTAGCCCCTATGGGTTTGGCACTTCCCCATGAATATAAAATTAACCCTTATGGGTTTAGGTCTTCCCTACTTGTAGTAAAGTATATGATATGATGATAATGTACAGTAATTATCTAAAGGAAATAGAATAGCATACAATAATTGTAGCTCCATGAACCTGTCTCAAAGTTCATGGATTACAAGTCATAGGAAACAGTAAACATGTATAAAATATAACTTGCAGAAAAACATTTTCATGGATACAGAACTTGAGGTAAAAGTGCATGTACTAAGGAATTATAACACCATATTATGAAACAGAGAAACAGTGTTTGATTCTTTTAGACAATGAAGAAAATATCTCCTACCTGTGGTATTACCGCCCATCATATATATGCCCAACAAGTGAGAAGTAAATAATGGGTCAAGTCTTATAGCAAGAGCTAAGTTGGTGAGTGGTCCCAGGGCAGCCAACATTATCTCCTCTGAATTGAAAGCAATTAATCATTAAAAGTTTAGTTAGATTTTTTACCTTAAAATTGGAATTTTATTTTAAAACTGGACAAGTGTTATTTGCATTAATATAATACAATTACTATAAAATAGTGTACAGTAATATTAAGTAATTTCCTGAATGAGTGTCAGCATTAACAATGTAAAGGAGGCAATCTATTTGTATCTGCATTATTTATATCTAGTGTGTGTGTCTGTGTGTAGACTTAATAAGATGGACTACTGTATATACTTTAATTTTCCATGGTAATGAGAGGCATTATAAAAATATTAAATATAAAATGATTTGGAAGAATATACGTATACTGTATACGTATTGGCAGTTTCAGCCAACAATTCTGAACCTTTAATAACAAAGAATAAAAAAAAATATATATATAAATAACCTGCACTTAGCAGACTGAAACATATGACAATGTTTCAGTCCAAATCTGACCATTAATAAGTCATTCAACTGCAGCATCATATATAATCCTACTTACTAACATATGAAACTTTGTAATTAGAAACAAGCAATGATATATGCAGACTATATTTGCTTACTAGGATATTTGTTGACTAGTTCAATAAGGGCCCATACAGCATGCTGTGGCTTCAGTAATGAGGTCACAAGAGGCAACGATGGAAGCTGAGCATCCCCAAAGCCATCAGACCCATGGAAACGTTCTCCAGGGTGCGTCCACTGATGAACCAAAGACTTTGTAGCTCCACTGTAAACTGGGATCTTTAATAATAAAACAAAACATTACTCTATTAGATACTATATTCTCTCTGCCTTTAAATGAATTGTACTTTGTAAGGGGGTTTAGTAATAGGCAATGCAGTTCACATTTTGTGAGGATAAATAAATATGTAAGGTAAAATGAAGTGTGCAGTGAGAAGTCTGCTACACTATGTATTAATATGCAACTGAAAAAGCATATTAAAAGTAAAAGACTGGGTAATATTATGTTGAAAAAATTAGGGCTTGGGGACACGTTAATATTCAACTTATGATGAAATTTTGGAAATGCATTAATGTTGTAAATTGGGGCCCTGCTATACTTTTTTTTTCTTTAAAGGAGAGATAAGTATGTCGGATCATCATTTAGTATCAGAGTAAGAGGAAGGTGGATTACAAGGAGAATGGTGTGAGTAGGTATACAAAAAATAATAATAAAGTGAAGATATGAACCTGCAAAAAAATTACAAAAAAAGACAGGTTTATGTGACAATTACAGTATTATTATTATTATTATTATTTGTAAAGGAGTATAGTTCCAACTCTGTGGATCAAGAGCCTTCACTGGCATCAAGGCACCTGCTTTGAAGAGTGACAAATTTGAAACACAAAGTGAGAATGCAACAATTAAAATTTTTATTGCTAGTCAATGATGGCTTGCAGGTTTAAAAGGTGTAATGACATAACTACTGTACTTCAAAAAGACTGGCAAAGCTGAGAGTATTATGCAAAAGTGGCAGATAATTTTCAAGATACAATAATGTATTCTGGAAATTAAAGACAGTAGCTAGACACCACAGTAAAGGTTTAATGTAGACAAAATTGAGCTGTTTTCTTTCATTTAGCAAGAAAGAGAGAGGTTATTAGGGATGGTGGATAGCCACTCCTACCAAAGTTTGTATCAACAGTCATTCAATCATGCAACCTAGAAAAATACTGCCTGTATTTTATAGTTAATGAATGTCACATGTAATTATGTACTATATTTCTAAGTAGTGTGCCAGTAATACAGAATTAATTCAAAATTAATGGGGGAGTGCTAAACATGTAGGAATCATACAACACCTGGAGGAACAGGAGTCAGTCAGTTTTGTAAGGAAGAATATGTCCAATTCCTTGAATCAAAACCCTTAACTGGCATCAAGGCACCTCCCTGAGGGGAGTAATACAGAAACTAACTGTAATGAGTTTGGCTTATGTAATAAGCACTGTATGACCAAGACAAGTTTTGCACAATTTTTGAGAACAACGTAAATATACAACCTCTAATAAAGCAGCAGTGTTCAGAATCCTCAGTACATTGGTATTCACATTGTGCACTTCAGTATTGCCTTGCACTGTAGTGACAGCAATCACTTCAATCTCCTTTCTCTTATGTGCTGCTAGAGCCATAAAAATTGCCAGAGCATCGTCAACACCAGCATCAGTATCAATAATGACCTTTGGCACAACCATCCTGCAATATAACACAATAATTAAGAAAGCCTAGGGAAAGTATGGATTTGTCAGTTAAAAACAGAGTAGGGGAGTTAGTAGATGGGGAGAGGGAGGTATTAGGTAGATGGCGAGAATATTTTGAGGAATTTTTAAATGTTGAGGAAGAAAGGGAGGCGGTAATTTCATGCACTGGCCAGGGAGGTATACCATCTTTTAGGAGTGAAGAAGAGCAGAATGTAAGTGTGGTGGAGGTACGTGAGGCATTACGTAGAATGAAAGGGGGTAAAGCAGCTGGAACTGATGGGATCATGACAGAAATGTTAAAAGCAGGGGGGATATAGTGTTGGAGTGGTTGGTACTTTTGTTTAATAAATGTATGAAAGAGGGGAAGGTACCTAGGGATTGGCAGAGAGCATGTATAGTCCCTTTATATAAAGGGAAAGGGGACAAAAGAGATTGTAAAAATTATAGAGGAATAAGTTTACTGAGTATACCAGGAAAAGTACACGGTAGGGTTATAATTGAAAGAATTAGAGGTAAGACAGAATGTAGGATTGTGGATGAGCAGGGAGGCTTCAGAGTGGGTAGGGGATGTGTAGATCAAGTGTTTACATTGAAGCATATATGTGAACAGTATTTAGATAAAGGTAGGGAAGTTTTTATTGCATTTATGGATTTAGAAAAGGCATATGATAGAGTGGATAGAGGAGCAATGTGGCAGATGTTGCAAGTACTATATGGAAGAGGTGGTAAGTTACTAAATGCTGTAAAGAGCTTTTATGAGGATAGTGAGGCTCAGGTTAGGGTATGTAGAAGAGAGGGAGAATACTTCCCAGTAAAAGTAGGTCTTAGACAGGGATGTGTAATGTCACCATGGTTGTTTAATATATTTATAGATGGGGTTGTAAAAGAAATAAATGCTAGGGTGTTCAGGAGAGGGGTGGGATTAAATTATGGGGAATCAAATTCAAAATGGGAATTGACACAGTTACTTTTTGCTGATGATACTGTGCTTATGGGAGATTCTAAAGAAAAATTGCAAAGGTTAGTGGATGAGTTTGAGAATGTGTGTAAAGGTAGAAAGTTGAAAGTGAACATAGAAAAGAGTAAGGTGATGAGGGTATCAAATGATTTAGATAAAGAAAAATTGGATATCAAATTGGGGAGGAGGAGTATGGAAGAAGTGAATGTTTTCAGATACTTGGGAGTTGACGTGTCGGCGGATGGATTTATGAAGGATGAGGTTAATCATAGAATTGATGAGGGAAAAAAGGTGAGTGGTTCGTTCAGGTATATGTGGAGTCAAAAAACATTATCTATGGAGGCAAAGAAGGGAATGTATGAAAGTATAGTAGTACCAACACTCTTATATGGATGTGAAGCTTGGGTGGTAAATGCAGCAGCGAGGAGATGGTTGAAGGCAGTGGAGATGTCCTGTCTAAGGGCAATGTGTGGTGTAAATATTGTGCAGAAAATTCGGAGTGTGGAAATTAGGAGAAGGTGTGGAGTTAATAAAAGCATTAGTCAGAGGGCAGAAGAGGGGTTGTTGAGGTGGTTTGGTCATTTAGAGAGAATGGGTCAAAGTAGAATGACATGGAAAGCATATAAATCTATAGGGGAAGGAAGGTGGGGTAGGGGTTGTCCTCGAAAGGGTTGGAAAGAGGGGGTAAAGGAGGTTTTGTGGGCGAGGGGCTTGGACTTCCAGCAAGCGTGCATGAGCGTGTTAGATAGGAGTGAATGGAGACGAATGATACTTGGGACCTGATGATCTGTTGGAGTGTGAGCAGGGTAATATTTAGTGAAGGGATTCAGAGAAACTGGTTATTTTCATATAGTCGGACTTGAGTCCTGGAAATGGGAAGTACAATGCCTGCACTTTAAAGGAGGGGTTTGGGATATTGGCAGTTTGGAGGGATATGTTGTGTATCTTTATACGTATATGTTTCTAAACTGTTGTATTCTGAGCACCTCTGCAAAAGCAGTGATAATGTGTGAGTGTGGTGAAAGTGTTGAATGATGATGAAAGTATTTTCTTTTTGGGGATTTTCTTTCTTTTTTTGGGTCACCCTGCCTCGGTGGGAGACGGCCGACTTGTTGGAAAAAAAAAAAAAAAAAATTTAAAACAGCATGCAGCATAATGTGTTCTGTTTTTGCTTTTGTATTTCAAAAAAGTTGAACATAAAGATAAAACATAGATTTTATTTCTTTATAGGGTTACAATGTGTAATTGCAATTTTGATTTGCTAAGTACAAAGAAAGTCACTTTCGTGCTGGGGCAGTTCAGACAGACTAATCCTAGTACATAATAACTACTTAAATCTAGACAAGATAAGAGTGGTTAACTTTCATTAAAATCTTTATTTAATCTTAATACTAATGCGAGGTAGTCAAGGTGGTTTATAAGAACAATAATCTTGAAGTTGCACATAATAAAAACGATATTACAAATAATGGTTCAAACAGTAATATTTCATGAATTGGCAAATATTTAAAAGACTCGAGGTCATATAATATATATTGATGAGAGTTGCTTCAAACTGATTAGAAGTTGTTTAGGTTGGTTTGGTTAATATCGAGAGATGAAATGGTTTTGAAGTGAAGTCCTAAATTTATAAGCAGTCAGGGGATCCTTTACCAGTTCAGGTAGTGAATTCCAGATCTTCAGGCCCTTTAGGTGCAAGGCATTTTTGTGTAGTGTTTCTATCAAAGCACATGAATGTTCCAATTTCGTCACCTTTGTGGGTTTAGCACTCCCCCATGAATGTAATAATAATAATTCAGTAACATCAATACATGCCCCTTTAAGGGTATAGAGTGATAAACCTATCAAGATCACTGGAGAGATGTTCAATAGCCTTTGAACGTTCGTTGAAATACAGAAGTAAGAGGAGATGGCCTGGCATGATGCACTGTAAACACTAGGGATTGGCAGAGAGCATGTATAATTCCTTTATATAAAGGGAAGGGAAGGGGGACAAGAGATTGCAAAAATTATAGAGGAATAAGTTTACTGAGTATACCAGGAAAAGTGTATGGTAGGGTTATTATTGAAAGAATTAGAGGCAAGACTGAATGTAGGATTGCAGATGAGCAGGGAGGCTTCAGAGTGGGTAGGGGATGTGTAGATCAAGTGTTTACATTGAAGCATATATGTGAACAGTATTTAGATAAAGGTAGAGAAGTTTTCATTGCATTTATGGAGTTAGAAAAGGTATATGATAGAGTGGATAGGGAAGCAATGTGGCAGATGTTGCAAGTATATGGAAGAGGTAGTAAGTTACTAAATGCTGTAAAGAGTTTTTATGAGGATAGTGAGGCTCAGGTTAGGGTGTGTAGAAGAGAGGGAGACTACTTCCCAGTAAAAGTAGGTCTTAGACAGGGGTGTGTAATGTCACCATGGTTGTTTAATATATTTATAGATGGGGTTGTAAAAGAAGTAAATGCTAGGGTGTTGGGGAGAGGGGTGGAATTAAATTATGGGCAATCAAATACAAAATGGGAATTGACACAGTTACTTTTTGCTGATGATACTGTGCTTATGGGAGATTCTAAAGAAAAATTGCAAAGGTTTGGGAGAATGTGTAAAGGTAGAAAGTTGAAAGTGAACATAGAAAAGAGTACGGTGATGAGGGTATCAAACAATTTAGATAAAAAAAATTGGATATCAAATTGGAGAGGACGGATAAGGAAGAAGTGAATGTTTCCAGATATTTGGGAGTTGACATGTCAGTGGAAGGATTTATGAAGGATGAGGTTAACCATAGAATTGATGAAGGAAAAAAGGTGAGTGGTGCATTGAGGTATATGTGAAGACAAAGAACATTATCTATGGAGGCAAAGAAGGGAATGTATGAGAGTATTGTGGTACCAACACTCTTATATGGGTGTGAAGCTTGGGTTGCAAATGCTGCAGCGAGGAGGCGATTGGAGGCGGTGGAGATGTCCTGTCTAAGGGCAATGTGTGGTGTAAATATTATGCAGAGAATTCGGAGTGTGGAAATTAGGAGAAGGTGTGGAGTTAATAAAAGTATTAGTCAGAGGGCTGAAGAGGGGTTGTTTGAGGTGGTTTGGTCATTTAGAGAGAATGGATCAAAGTAAAATGACATGGAGAGCTTATAAATCTGTAGGGGAAGGAAGGTGGGGTAGGGGTCATCCTCGAAAAGGTTGGAGGGAGGGGGTAAAGGAGGTTTTGTGGGCGAGGGGCTTGAACTTCCAGTAAGCATGTGTGAGCATGTTAGATATGTGTGAATGGAGACGAATCATATTTGGGACCTGACGAGCTGTTGAAGTGTGAGCAGGGCAATATTTAGTGAAGGGATTCAAGAAAACCAGTTACGTATTTTTATATAACTGGAGTTGAGTCCTGGAAATGGGAAGTACAATGCCTGCACTTTAAAGGAGGGGTTTGGGATATTGGCAGTTTGGAGGGATATATTGTATGTATATCTTTATAGGTATATGCTTCTAAACTGTAGTGTTCTGGGCACCTCTGCAAAAACAGTGATTATGTACGAGTGAGGTGAAAGTGTTGAATGATGATGAACGTATTTTCTTTTTGGAGATTTTCTTTCTTTTTGGGTCACCCTGCTTCGGTGGGAAACAGCCAATTTGTTGAAAAAAAAAAATTACTGGTAACATGTTGGTGCCTACCAGTAATGCATGATATAATAAACTAGGTCTATAATTCCTTTAAGAAGAAGCCTGTAGTCATATAATAAAGCTTAAAAATAAATTATATACACACAAAATAAAAATTAATCTAAGGCCTATACCTGGATAAATTGAAATTAATTGTATGTATGTATGTATGTACATATACAAATATGTATGTAGAGTATATAGTATGTATACATATACTATATTTTTTTATTAACACATTGACCGTCTCCCACCAAGGCAGGGAGGCCCGAAAAAGAAAATCTTTCATCATCATTCACTCCATCACTGTCTTGTCATAGGTGTGCTTACACTGCAGTTATAAAACTGCAACAATAACACCCCTCCTTCAGAGTGCAGGCACTGTACTTCCCATCTCCAATATTAACACATTTGGCCTACCAATTTCCCTGAATCCCTTCATAAATGTAACCTTGCTCACACTCCAACAGCACACCATGTACTAAAAAACATTGGTCTTCATTCACTCCTATCAAACATGCTCATGCAAGCTTGCTGAAAGTCCAAGCCCCTCACACACAAAACCTCCTTTACCCCCTCCCTCTGACCTGCAGCCAGCATTAACAGCCTGGTTGATCAGACCCTGATCCACCATGAGGCCTGGTCTCAGACCGGGCTGCAGGGGCATTGATCCCCAAAACCCTCTCCAGGTAAACCTTTCCTAGGCTGACCCCTTCCCTCCACTACAGATTTATACACTCTCGAAGTCATTCTATGTATATGCACGTAATTATGACAAAGCCTACCTTCAAATACTGCAGTGTACACTACAGTACAAAACTATCTCCCAATCGTATGGGTCTTTTCTTATCCTCTTATCATCGCTTCTGCTGATAATGATGATAACACATGTGGAACCAATGACTTAGATAGAGATGGTTACAAAGGTGATGTACAATTTGAATTATGGAAAGTAGAGCAAGTTGCTTGCAGTCAGTGGAGGAATGTCTTGTAATTAACTGGGCCACTATCTATCTGAAAAGGAAGCCATTTCCCATTTCTGACAAAAAGTAAAACATACATGATATTTTACACTGTATAAACCATGGGTACAATATATAAGGTACTTTATTCTTAGTAAGTAAGTAAGTTTATTCAGGTATACACAAATACAGTTACATAGTTATCATACATAGCAGCATATGTGTAGAGAACCTAGGATAACCCAAAAAAGTCAGACAGAGTGACTTATTTCCATTGGGGTCCTTTTACCTTATTATTATAATATAAAGGTTATAATATTTTCTTATTATTCTACAATGAAGATAACATCTTATTATCATACTAAAGAGACTACTACACGAGGGTCATTAAGACTATCTACAATACGAGGGTCATTACTAGGAATAAGGTAAAATTTACACGTATGTTAGCTAAAAAATAGAAAATCATTCCCCTCCCTTTCTGTAGCTACATTCATCAGACACCTTTTGGCACTCTTCTTGAACTGGTTCATGCTATGACTGGCTTTGACATGTGCGGGCAGTCTGTTCCATTCCTTTATTGCTGTACAATAAAAGGTGTTTGAAGCCTGGCCACTAACTGTGGGTACTACAAAGTTGTGCTCTCTCCCCCTAGTACTATGATTGCTTTGGTTCCCAACCTTGACAAAATTGACAGCAAGATATTCTGGACATTGTTTGTGAGCAATTTTATAAACATGATATAGCTTCAGTTGTTTTACTCTGTCTTCAACATTCAGCATATCCAACTGCTGTAATTCATCCTGGCCTACATGTTCTCTTGGTCCCAGCCCCAGGATGAATCTTACGATTTTGTTCTGGGTGATTTGCAGTCTATCTTTCACTGAATGGTAATGAAAGATACTTAAGATGTGTCAGAAACATCCTCCAAGGTCACCATACAGTACTAATTAAGCGTTTGGTGTAAAACAATGTAGGCAACTTTTTTTTTAAGACTGGCTAGGTGATAAAATACTGGAATGGTAAAATACAGGAAGCCCCTGTGAAGATTTCTAGAGATGGTTGATTTTAGTGGAGGAATCTCCTGTAGTTTTTCTGATATAATGTAGGAGTCTCTACCCTCCCTTACCGGTCAAAAGGTCAAAAAAGTAAAGTTTTTGTGATAAAACAGTCAGGAAGCTTTTATAAAAAGTAAGGCTGTTGTACATAGCTTTGGTGCTAATTTCACCTGACTGCTCAAAAACTTTTTCATTACTGGATGATGCTAGTGACTTACATTGGCACAGCATTATTACAAGCCCAGGAGAACAGTTTCTTTCATCTATGGTTTCTTCTTTGTGAACCCAAAGGAGCATCAACTGAAACTGCAATAATAATAATAATAATAATAATAATAATAATAATAATAATAATAATAATAATAATAATATAATAATAATAATAATAATAATAATAATAATAATAATAATAATAATAAATAATAATAATAATAATAATAATAATAATAATTATTATTATTATTATTATTATTATTATTATTATTATTATTATTATTATTATTATTATTATTAATATTAATTTATTATCACAGGATACAAGGAAATATGTCACTATGGTTATTTCTGGGGTATCCTAGGTAATTTACAAATGTTACCTTGCAAGAAAATTATAAGTCATCCAAAATTGTGTAAGTTATACTTAAATAAACTTATTTACAAAACTGAATGATATTAATATTAAACAAGGAAAACCCCGTTATGTAGAGCATTTTGGGGACACTAAAACCTAAATACAAAAAAACAGAACATAATAAACATTTACCTGGAGTTTACCTGGAGAGAGTTCCGGGGGTCAACGCCCCCGCGGCCCAGTCTGTGACCAGGCCTCCTGGTGGATCAGAGCCTGATCAACCAGGCTGTTACTGCTGGCTGCACGCAAACCAACGTACGAGCCACAGCCCGGCTGGTCAGGAACCGAGTTTAGGTGCTTGTCCAGTGCCAGCTTGAAGACTGCCAGGGGTCTGTTGGTAATCCCCCTTATGTGTGCTGGGAGGCAGTTGAACAGTCTCGGGCCCCTGACACTTATTGTATTGTCTCTTAACGTGCTAGTGACACCCCTGCTTTTCATTGGGGGGATGGTGCATCGTCTGCCAAGTCTTTTGCTTTCGTAGTGAGTGATTTTCGTGTACAAGTTCAGTACTAGTCCCTCTAGGATTTTCCAGGTGTATATAATCATGTATCTCTCTCGCCTGCGTTCCAGGGAATACAGGTTTAGGAACTTCAAGCGCTCCCAGTAACTGAGGTGTTTTATCTCCGTTATGCGCGCCAAACATGCATATGAAGATATTAAAGATATAAAGACAGAGAGTAAGAGAAGTTCTAACACGTATAACTAGTTAAAAGTGTATCCTGGAATAAGATTCATAAGAAAAATTAAATCACAAACAAGGCCACAGGAGCATTGATCCCCGGAATACCCTCCAGGTAGGTAGGTAGGTCAAGTTCAACTAAATAAATTATATCCTCAAGTACAATTTTTTACATTAGGTGACACTTAATACAAGAGCTACTGTATTAAGCTTAGTGTAGCATACTGAAGCAGTAGTGCTCATATGGTGAAAACACTTTCAAAACAGTGAGAGAATTATTTACAAATAAAGATGATTTGACCAGAGTGTTTAGGCACAAAGTGCTCCCTTTAGTAGTTTTGAATCCAGTAAGATAGTTGTACAGTATTTGTTTGCTGTTCATCTGCAGTGGTAGCTCATACCTTTGGTCCTTTAATTTGCTTAGAATTTCTTTAATGATGAATGAAAGATGAGGAATATAAAAGTGCAGATTGTTTCAGCATTAGCAATACAGAATAAGGTTTAAACACTGCAGTAGTTATGCTCAAAGTTGAGCAGTGAAAGAAAAGAGAGAGTTTCTTTTGCAAATAAAACAGGAACAAAAATTTTGCGGTGACCTGGAGTTTACCTGGAGAGAGTTTCGGGGGTCAACGCCCCCGCGGCCCGGTCTGTGACCAGGCCTCCTGGTGGATCAGCGCCTGATCAACCAGGCTGTTGCTGCTGGCTGCACGCAAACCAACGTACGAGCCACAGCCCGGCTGATCAGGAACTGCCTTTAGGTGCTTGTCCAGTGCCAGCTTGAAGACTGCCAGGGGTCTGTTGGTAATCCCCCTTATGTGTGCTGGGAGGCAGTTGAACAGTCTCGGTCCCCTGACACTTATTGTATGGTCTCTTAACGTGCTAGTGACACCCCTGCTTTTCATTGGGGGGATGGTGCATCGTCTGCCAAGTCTTTTGCTTTCGTAGTGAGTGATTTTCGTGTGCAAGTTCGGTACTAGTCCCTCTAGGATTTTCCAGGTGTATATAATCATGTATCTCTCCCTCCTGCGTTCCAGGGAATACAGGTTTAGAAACCTCAAGCGCTCCCAGTAATTGAGGTGTTTTATCTCCGTTATGCGCGCCGTGAAAGTTGAGGTTAAAGTTCCTGAATTTTGCGGTTAGCTTAAAGTTTCTGAACCTGTACTCTCTGGAACGCAGGCGGGAGAGATACATGATTATATACACCTGGAAAATCCTAGAGGGACTAGTACCGAACTTGCACACGAAAATCACTCACTACGAAAGCAAGACTCGGCAGACGATGCAACATCCCCCCCCCAATGAAAAGCAGGGGTGTCACTAGCACGTTAAGAGACAATACAGTAAGTGTCAGGGGCCTGAGACTGTTCAACTGCCTCCCAGCATACATAAGGGGGATTACCAATAAACCCCTGGCTGTCTTCAAGCAGGCATTGGACAGGCACCTAAAGTCGGTACCTGGCCAGCCGGGCTGTGGCTCGTACGTTGGATTGCGTGCAGCCAGCAGTAACAGCCTGGTTGATCAGGCCCTGTTCCACCATGAGGCCTGGTCACAGACCGGGCCGTGGGGGCGTTGACCCCTGGAATTCTCTCTAGGTAAAACTCCAGGTCAGGAGAAATATCCCCCTTCCTTACGTAAGCCTCAGTAAAGCAGGACACCCCTGACCTGAGTTCAGTAACCTGAGCAACAAACTAAATGTCATCAATGCCACACATAATGCCTAGGCATAATAGAGGCTCTCTTTGCATTGCAACCCACTATTGTAAATATAAAATCTCATTGTACTGTTTGCAAACACATAAAATAAATAAATAAATAAACATTTCTAAAAAAAAAATCCAAAATGGTATTCTCTCGAAAATGCAATACAGTATTATGTACTATAAAGATCCCTGTTCACTTTGTATTACTCTCTACTCTATCCCCACCTAACTATGATATTTGTGAACAGGGATTAGCAAGTTAGGTACAGGTACATATAAGTAGTTATAAAAATTTAGGTGATGTGGACCAGGTGTTTACAGTGAAACATATAAGTGAACAGTATTTAGATAAGGCTAAAGAGGTTTTTGTGGCATTTATGGATTTGGAAAAGGCGTATGACAGGGTGGATAGGGGGGCAATGTGACAGATGTTGCAGGTGTATGGTGTAGGAGGTAGGTTACTGAAAGCAGTGAAGAGTTTTTACGAGGATAGTGAAGCTCAAGTTAGAGTATGTAGGAAAGAGGGAGTTTATTTCCCAGTAAAAGTAGGCCTTAGACAAGGATGTGTGATGTCACCGTGGTTGTTTAATATATTTATAGATGGGGTTGTAAGAGAAGTAAATGCGAGGGTCTTGGCAAGCGGCGTGGAGTTAAAAGATAAAGAATCACACATAAAGTGGGAGTTGTCACAGTTGCTCTTTGCTGATGACACTGTGCTCTTGGGAGATTCTGAAGAGAAGATGCAGAGGCTGGTGGATGAATTTGGTAGGGTATGCAAAAGAAGAAAATTAAAAGTGAATACAGGAAAGAGTAAGGTTATGAGGATAACAAAAAGATTAGATGATGAAAGATTGGATATCAGATTGGAGGGAGAGAGTATGGAGGAGGTGAATGTATTCAGATATTTGGGAGTGGACGTGTCAGCGGATGGGTCTATGAAAGATGAGGTGAATCATAGAATTGATGAGGGGAAAAGGGTGAGC